TGGTGTGTGTATGTTGTGTGGTGAGTGTGTGTGGTGTGTATGTATGTTGTGTTGTGAGTGTGAGTGTATGTGTGTGCGTGTGTGTGTATGTGTGTGGTGTGTGTGTATGGTGTGTGTATGTTGTGTGGTGAGTGTGTGTATGATGTGTGATGTGTGTGGTGTGTGTGGTATGTGTGTGTGGTGTGTGTGTGTATGTTGTGTGGTGTGTGTGTATGGTGTGTGTATGTGTGTATGGTGTATGTGTGTGTATGTGGTGTGTGTGTGAGTGTGTGTGTATGTGTGTGGTGTGTGTGGTGTGTGTGTATGTGGTCTGTGTGAGTGTGAGTGTATGTGTGTGTGTGTATGTGTGTGGTGTGTGTGTATGGTGTATGTTGTGTGGTGAGTGTGTGTATGATGTGTGATGTGTGTGGTGTGTGTGTGGTATGTGTGTGTGATGTGTGTGTATGTTGTGTGGTGTGTGTGTATGGTGTGTGTATGTTGTGTGGTGTGTGTGTATGGTGTGTGTATGTGTGTGGTGTGTGTGTGTATGGTGTATGTGTGTGTATATGGTGTGTGTGTGAGTGTGTGTGTATGTGTGTGGTGTGTGTGGTGTGTGTGTATGTGGTCTGTGTGAGTGTGAGTGTATGTGTGTGTGTGTATGTGTGTGGTGTGTGTGTATGGTGTATGTTGTGTGGTGAGTGTGTGTATGATGTGTGATGTGTGTGGTGTGTGTGTGGTATGTGTGTGTGATGTGTGTGTATGTTGTGTGGTGTGTGTGTATGGTGTGTGTATGTGTGTGGTGTGTGTGCGTATGGTGTATGTGTGTGTATGTGGTGTGTGTGTGAGTGTGAGTGTATGTGTGTGGGTGTGAGTGTATGTGTGTGAGTGTGTGTGTATGGTGTGTGTATGTTGTGTGGTGTGTGTGTATGTGTGTGTGTGGTATGTGTGTGTATGTTGTGTGGTGAGTGTGTGTGTGGTGTGTGTGTATGTGTGTGTGGTATGTGTGTGTATGTTGTGTGGTGAGTGTGTGTGTGGTGTGTGTGTGTGTGTGTCCACATGTGCGCACACAGGTGCTCATGGAGGTCAGGAAAGGGTGTGAGTCCTCTGGAAGAGCAGGACATAGCAATGGCTGAGCCATCTCTCCAGTCCCCACTATGCACCTTTCAAATGGGCAGAGGTTGTCCCTGAGATTTCTACTGAAGCACACGCTGGCCACAGGAGCTGTTTTGGAAGCTCACAGAATGAGGACCGGGAGAGAAGTCGCGAGGTGAGACTGGCCTCTCTAGGTTTGAAGAGATCAAAGACTGCATTTCATTTTCCTTTCCTTTGAAATAATTTCTCACAAGTGCACATGCCTTGAGCACCTGCCTGCCCTTCTTTTCCCCATCCTCCCCCCCACCAGCCCCCTTTGTCCCTCAGTTTCACACCAACTCCCATGTCATAAGACATACACGGTTTGTTGTCTATGCAAACGAAGGAAAACAGTGTTTTGTCTCTCTGAGACTGGGTTCACTCACTATCATTGGCTCCATCCTCACCCATTTTCCTGAAAAACACAATCATTCTTTATGACTGAAAAACAAAACCAAAAACCTTTCATTGCGAATGTCTATCACATTCAATTCTCTATTCCTTTGTTGCCGGAAGCCCAGGTTGGTTCCATATCATTTATTTTGTAACTTTGTATTTGGCTACAACTTTTTAAAAAAACCATTTGTGGGTCCTCGACATTGTCTTGGAAAGTATTCTGCTTTTATTTCCGTTGCTGTGGTAAACACCACCACCAAAGGCAAGCTGGGAATGGAAGGGTTTATTTTAGTTTGCAGGCCATATCTATCACTGAGGGAGGTTAGAGAAGGAACTCAAGCTACAGACTGAGACTCCTTAAATTTCATATTAAGTGAAACAAACCAGACCTCAGTGTATAAATCTAATGAAAGAAGACTCGTGTGTGTGTGTGTGTGTGTGTGTGTGTGTGTGTGTTTGTGTGCACACCTACACACACATGATTTATAAGAGTGGCTTTCAGGCTGTGGCCCAGATAGTCCAACAATGGCTGTCTTGCAACAGAAAGGCCAAGGATCCAGAAGTTGTTCAGTCCATGAGGCTGGATGTCTCAGCAGCCCCAGTCTGTGCTGGAGTCCTGGAAGAGTCCAAGAGAGCCGTTGGTCTCAGTCAGTGTTGGAAACCCATTGAAGAAGTAAGTTCTAACACCAGCAAAAGGGGCACCTTAGCCACAGGGTGCACAGACTTGCCAGTGAGAGGGAGGGCAATCCGGTAAGGTTTTCTTTCTTCCATGTCCTTTCATGTGGGTTGTCATCAGAAGGTGTGACCAAGTTTAGGGGGCTTCCCACCTCAAAGTAGCCAAGACAGAAAACCCCTAACAGGCATGCCTTGCTGCTTGAGGTCTACTTGATTCCGATTCTACTCAAGCCCAGGGAGTCCAGATTGACCATTACTCTCGGAAAGCCAAAGAGCACATGCTCCCCCTCCTGTGTGGGCCCTGGATTTGAGTATAGATCCATAAAGTTATTTATATAAGTACACATGGAAAGAGAGGCTGGGCTGTCTGTGTAAAGGGGAGGGCTTGCCAGAGGGGAGGGGGAGGGAGAGGAGGAGGGGGAGGGAAGTCAGGGCATGAGGCTGAAAACCGTCAGAAATAACAGCTGGGGACTGAAGAAATGGCTCCGAGGTTCAGCGCACCGACTACTCTTGCAGAGGACCCAGGTTTGATCCCCAGCACCCACATGGCAGCTCATAACTACCTGTGACTCCAACTCCGCGGGATCTGACACTTTCTTCTGCCCTCCATGGGTATCAGGCATGATGTATATGCACAAGCATGTACGTAGGCAAAACACTCATGTGGATTTTTAAAAATTAAAGAAAAAACTGTTCGTTTTCTTTTTAAATTAATTTATATTTCACATTCCAATCCCAGTTCCTTCTCCCTCCTCTCTTCCCACTCCCCCTAGTCCTCCCCCCATCTGCTCCACAGAGATGGTAAGGCCTCCCCTAGGAAGTCTACTAAGACTGTCCCATCATCTCTTTGAGGCAGGACATAGGCACCTCTCCACCGCCACACCCCTGTGTCTAGGCTGAACGAGGTATGGCTCCATATAGAATGGCTCCACTAAGTCAGTTTGTGCACTGGAGTTATATCTTGCACTCACTGCCAGTGGCCTCATGTACTGTCCCAGTCACACCACTGTCACCTGTATCAAGGGAGTCTAGTTCAGTCTTGTGTAGGTTCCCATTCTGACGGTTCATTTTCAAAGGTTCTTTAAGTCAGGTTCGGTCCAGCTACAAATGATCAAAAACACCAGACTCCTGCTAAAACTTCTAGTTTAACTACCGCCCCCCCCCCCAAAACTGTTCAGCCACATCTGCCAGACTACAAGTCTAGAGTAGAAAATTACTCACAGACAAGCTTTCTTGCAAGTCTGGTTGCATGTTACCGCAAACAGGCTGTATGATGAACATGAGCTCAGCTTTGGTTGAGGAAAAGACAAACGTAAGTGGCCGAGGGCAACCTGGCCTAAGAGCAAGTCAGGCTCTTCTTCTTGACACCCCCTAGGCCGCCTGCTGAGCATCTCCTTGCCGCCACCGGCTGTGAGAAACTCACTGGAGTGGGTGATGAACGCAAGCGTCGTGCGTTCTGTGAGAAGCACGTGGCCACAGCAGTAGCTATGGTTGTTCTGGGTGAAGAGTGGGAGGGTTGGGTTGTTCGAATCTGCGGTGGGAATGACAAACAAGGTTTTCCCGTGAAGCAAGGCACTTCGACCCACGGCAGAGTGCGCCTGATGTTGAATGTGGAGCATTCTTGTTATAAGCCAAAGACAGCTGGAGAGAGGAAGGGCAAGTCTGTTCCTGGATACCTTGTGGGCGCCAATCTGAGTGTTCTCAACTTAGTTATTGCTTTGTTTTTAAAGCTGGGGACGGAGAGGAAATTCCTGGACTGGCAGATACTACTGTGCCTTGTCAGTTGAGATGTAAAGGAGCTAGCAGGACCTGAAAGTTCTTCAGTGTCTCTAAATAAGAAGATGATGCTGGCCAATGTGTTGTCAGAAAGCGCTTACTCAAAGAAGAAGCCGAGGACCCCAGGACCAACACACTCAAGGTCCAGCCTCTTGTTACTCCACTCGCCCTGCAGCGTGAACTCCAACTCCGACGTGTTTCTCTGAAGGAACAACACTAGGAAAAACAAGGAAGAGGCTGCAGAATGCGCTCAACTTTTTAGTCAAGAAAATGAAGGAAGACGAAGAAAATGGTCAGAAACAATGCCAGGAGAAGTAGGCTGTCCTTGCTGAGAGCTTTAGGCCTGAGTCTAGTACAGATAAGCCTTAAGAGGAACACATAAATGAGCAGACATTGAGAAGAGGAAAAGAGCAGATGGCGTGTACAATTGACCCCCTTCCCGCGTGCCCCCCGCCCCCGTTACTCTCAAAGGGAGGAAGAGTCCTGTCTGTCTAGGCTGATGCTCGTCTTTGCAAGTTGGTGAAATAAGCCATGTTGGCTCCAGTACTCTGAGTCTCCGGTGCTCTTACTATGGGGGAGGGTTGTTGTTTCTCACAATATGGTTGAAGAACGTGATTGATATCCTGGAGCGAAGTGTTGTCAATATGCACAGTGAATACGTGCCAACAAAAATGAAAGAAAATGACTACCGCACCCAACAAGAATGAGAGAGGAGAATTCCGGGCCTCAGGGGTCAGAATACTTATCTTACTCCTGTGGCACGCTGAGACTGTGCTTGGGTCTGCTTCCCAGCTTCTTTACCTAATTGCAGAAAATTGAGGAGACTATGACCATGCCCTGTTTCTATGGAGACATCTGTGATGACACACACTGCTCCCAGGAGCCTGTAGGACAGGAGCATTGGAAGCTTGTCTTTTCTGGCTTGGACATCTCTGAAGGTTCAAGCTAAGACTGACTTCCCCACCATAACCGGCGCTGTGCACAAGAGCAATAGACCTGATTGGTCATTCAGGGTGACTGTCTCTTTGGCTCCATCTGTCTTCTCAATGAAGAAGGAGAACTTCCCCGAGGAACTCAGCTTGGCATCCCCCCAGATCAGCAAGGGCCTGGCACTGCTTCAGAGTGTTTCCAGCCGGGGCTCCCATGGCCCAGAGAGGAAGCTTCTAGGAGACCAACACAGACCCAGCAAGTCGGCCCAAGCCATCAGCCGATACTACCGCAAAGTGGTACGGGGTTGGGTGGAGTACCTCTATCTTCCCAGGACAGCCACCATGGAGCTAGCCACTCCTCTCCTTTGCCAAAGTACCATGGGAGCTGTCAACCAGCAGAGATTGGCACATGCTCCTTGGCAATCGCCACACGGAGCCCAGGAGGCCTGAGGACTGCAGCTTCTGGTGGGACAGAGCCCTGGCTCGCCTTGCCCAACTTCCTGAATGACCTATGACCTCCAGAGTGCCCAGGCTTTCCCAGGGAGGCAGCTGTATGGGGGGTGGGGAGGGAGGGAGGTAACTTCCCCCTTTACAGACCTTGGCTCCCGCTCAGTCTGGACAGCCAAGCACAAAGGAGGAAGTGAGCTCTGTACCTGAGCAAAGACGCTGTCTGTCCTGAGTGTCAGACTGTCTGTCCTGAGTGTCAGAGAGGAAGGTGAAAGGGAGAGAAGGATCCGAGGAAGGGAAGTCCAGATGGAAAGGTCCCCTGCACCCACCATATACCAGGGTACCAGGGATGGTGCTGGCAGGCTCGGCGACCTCCTAGTCTGGTGCCGAAGAGCAAGGCAAGGGTTGTTTCTAACGTGGGTCTTTCTGGAATTAACAGCACAGACAGGGTCCCTGCCAAAGGCACAGCCCAAGCACCTGACCTCACTTTTTCTCCTGCCAGAGCCAGCTCAAGAAACTCACTAACCCTAATGGCTTTGTGTCTGACATGGAGGAAATGAGGAAGGCCTTCCTCATGCGGCCCGGATGCCCCCAGTTCAGCACCAGAGCCACATCTGTATCTCACATGGGTGAGACCGCCAACCCCCTACCCCCGTACCACCAAGGGTGACTGGAGCCTGTGCTTTGATGGAGCGCAGGGTTAGGTCTCATTGCCTCCATCAGGAAGACTCACTTGTTCCTGGCCTCATGTTTAAATATACCACGACAGCCTCGGTCCCAGAGATTCCGAGGACAGACCGAACGTCTTGTCACCTCCTGGCACCTTGCACATTCCAGGTTCTGCCACCACGGTTGATCTGCCCAGGGACCCATGTTCCAGCTCCGGAACTTGGAAGATGGCTGAGGACCAGCCCCTGGTCAGGCAGGGCTCTGCCACCAGTATGGATGGTAAGGGAATCCTGGAGGCCTCTGCCTTCATCTGCTGGGACCCTGAACTAAATAAAGCTGCTCCCCAGGGATGCCTGATGTGCCCTTATGAAACTCTTCCTAGGACTGCCTGCCTCTCAAAAAAAAACTCTGAGACACAGGCTACCCAGATCCAGGGCTGTGGTGGAGTTCTATGCTCACTGGTGGAAGACACAGCCATTGTTCCTTGTCTTTGGCTGAACTGCAGCTGAAATCTGTGTCATCTGCCTTCTAGCCCCTGGGTACCAACCTCCTTGAATAGAGAAATAAACTTTCATTTGCCAGGAAGTGAGTTAGACGTGATGATTTCAGAGAATGACCCATCCCTCCAGGCTTAAGAAGGTGAAGAACCCCAAAGTCTAAAGTGAGACTCTGGGGTGCAAAGGGCTGAGTCATGGGGTCAACAAGGGCAGGGGCCGATGGCTTCCTGTCCTGACTCCCAGGTTCTTGTCTCTCTACCCTAGGGTCTGGATGTGAACCTTGATGCTCTGCCACCCTCCTGTGTGCATTCTAGATGGTTGTGGTCAGATGTAGTGGTCCCAGGGCCTATACACAGGATTCTGGTAGAGAAGACACACAAACTTTAAGATTTTAGTTTAGCAGCGGGAGACAGCTTACCGGATAGACGCTGGCCTCTGAGGGAAGGTCTGAAAGGATGGATGTTATTGTGGAAGATTCCACAGCACGTCCGCGGGGGACGAATCCGACTGCCCTCTGCTTCCTCCACAGGGCGCCCATTTACATTCAGCAAGAGTGCTTGCGAGCTCAACTACTCACAGAAGAGGAGTGAGCCCCCAGCCACCAGTCCCTCCAGCAGCCCAACCCTGGTCAAGAGGTCCCAGAGAACCAGAATACCCTGGTACATCTCAGTCATCCACGAGAAGGTAGGGTCCCACGCCTGGCCTGCAAACTGCCCAGCCCTCAGGCGACTGCTGTTCTATCTACTGTCGGGCTAGCTGTAACCTAAAATGACACTCAAGCACCCTGCTTTGGCCTCCTTCCTTTTCCAGGTGTGTGGCACTTTAACCAGACTCGGATCTTGTTAGCACACTTGACCACCAGCCCCTCACACCTTCAGCCCAGAAGTCCCTGTGGGCATAGTTCTAGCCACCTGGGTTAGAGGTCAGCAAACGCCCGAGATCCGGGTACAGGCCAGCACGTGGGGTTTTTTTCTTGGGGGGAAAAAAAAGTTGATGCATGTGAGAGTTGATCACACAACTCGCTTGTCTTAGAACTCTGTTGAAATTTGGCATTCACATTCACGTTATCCTGGCCTTGTTTTTAAAAATCCAGAAGCACTTCACCTGCTCCCCTCCTCCTCCCCCTCCTCCTTTTTCTTTTTATCCTCCTCCTCCTTCTCTGTCTTCTGTGCTATCTTCGCAGTCCCCGCCACCACCACTGCGATCCTCGGGCTACTTAGAGACATGGGCACATATCTAAAATCACCATGGTCAGAATAATAAGATGTGTTCTCTGGCATCGTTTTCCCACTTTGTCTTTTTATTTAGAACATTAAAAATAATTGTAACAGTCACAGAAATAAGCCCCACACACCTTTCATATTTTCCAGGGTTACAATGTTACATTCTGGCTTGTGTGTGTGTGTGTGTGTGTGTCTGTGTGTCTGTTGTGTCTGATGTGTCTGTGTCCCTGTGTGACTTTCTTCCACGTGTGTGCAGTTACCCTCAGATGGCTCCCCTTGGAGCTGGAATTACAGGTAGTTACGAGCTGTCTTGCCTGGGTTCTAGGAACTAAAGTCTGGTCCTCTGCAACAGCAGGATGGAGTTGGGCATGGTGGCACAAACCTTTAATCTCGGTAGACTTAGGAGACTCCAGTCTGGTCTACATAGTGAGTTTCAGGCCATCCAGGGCTGTAATTAGACCCTTGTCCCAAAGAGCATCTTCTACAGACATCTTTGCTCCCCATAAGCTGGCTTTAATTATCCTGAGGTGTGACAATGGCCTCACGTTCAATTCATTCATTCACAATGTTTTCAAACTTCTCAAGTGGTCCGTTCTTCAATCCACAGGCAACGTAGAAGGCTATGATGTTTCAAATAATTTGAGAAATGTATAGTTACCTTCCCTTCTAGATTGCTCTGTGTGGGTAATATTCCCCCTGCCCAAACACCTCAGTTTAGGCTTTTTCTGAGTTCGTATCTTTTGGTGAAGATTTATTTGCCGACGATGCCTTTGTCTTCCATTTTAAAGAACGGGTGGAGTTGCTTTTTTGAGAAGGCAGGCTGAGGGGCTTCCTGACAAGCCCCTTGGGGGTTGTTACTCTTGGGTGATGCTGCTGCTTAGGAGTGGGGCCACTGAGAATACATTGGGAAGGCTGACCAGGCTCTGGCCCTGACCTGAATGCCTTGGCACAAGGATTTAGGGTCAGCTCCCAGGGCTGATGCAAGAAGGCCAGAAGAACCCAGGGGGTGGCTGCAATAAAGAGCTGCACAGCGTGTTCCAGGGTTTGAGTGTCTGGGAGCTACTGTTGTCTGGGTGGCTGGGATGGGATATGGGGGAAGTTGTTCTTGCCTAGTGGGCCAGGTGTTGTCTCTGGTTTCCGCGTAGGATCATTCCCTGGTCCGGCTGGGAGAGGAACTCCGGCGGCTCTCAGTGTTGGAGACACAGATGCAGAAGAAAGATCAGGAGATCCTGATGCTCCAGAAGGAGAAGGAGGCCCTGAAGAAGCAGCTGAGAATCCTTCTCAGAAGCAAAGGCGCAGAAACATCTTCAGCTTCCGTCAGGATGGTGAGTCTTCTGTCAGGTGGCCCAGGGAGTCCCGCACTGTCCCCATGAGCTGCCTGCCTGTGGGCTCTTTCCTCTGTCCTTGCAGGCATTGGCAAAGGGCTGAACGAGGCAGGTCCCTATGGCCAGGAATGGTCCCCCACTGGTCCGGGACTATGATGCCTCTTTCATACCTGATGGAAGCCTGCACTTATGCTGGGGTAGACATATAGTGGGAGAAGGCCTTGGGTAGTGCCTGGGTGCCTTGGGAGTAGCTGCCCACACAGAAGCCTGAGGCAGAACAAATGGGAACTCTGCTCCCCCATTCCCCCCCCCCAAGGGCTCTTACACAGGCAGGGCAGCCAGGTGATCCTGTGCCAAGTACTTTCTGGAAGCTGTTCTGGTGGGGCCCAGATCACTGTTGTCCCCCAAGGCTGCTCATCTGCACACCATTGCCTTGTTCTTCTGGATGGTACTGCTTCCTCGCCCTCTGCCGTGGTTGCCCATGTGCACTTGGATAGCCCGATGTCCCTTTCCGGGAGGGTGGGGGAGGAGTGGGAACATCACCTGGAGCTCTCGTGGGAGCGTTGGGGGAGCCCAGGTTCACAGCAGCATCTGACAGGATCGGTCCATTGAGGCTGCACTGAAGCTGGGGAGGCTGAGCATGCTGAAGTCCATGTACAAAGAAGAGGATGAGTTACAACGCTGGATGCAGGTGTGGGGCAGGCTGAAGCCCGGGCGGGGCGGGGCGGGGCGGGGCGGGGCGTCACTCCTGGGGAGGATGGGTGCTGGGAGGGAGGCCCCAGCCTCAGTGTTCCTGCCTGCGGTCCTGATCTGTTGTGGCACTCCCTAGGCGCAGATGAGGCCAGTGGAGGATAAGCTCTTTCCCTCTCCCTGCCAAGAGCATGTCCTGAGAGAGAGAGAGAGAGAGAGAGAGAGAGAGAGAGAGAGAGAGAGAGAGGAGGGAGAGGAGGGAGAGGAGGGAGAGGAGGGGGAGGGAGAGAGAGGGGAAAGATGACGAATGAACTGGGCTGCCTACTAGAGTCTGTGCCTCTCCCCGGTACCTGGGGATGTTTGCGTCAATGCCCGCCCCTTTTCCCTCTGTCCCCAGATGCAGGACGACTACAACGTGGTAGAGAACAGGGAGCTGCCAATGGAACCAGGAAGTGTCGTGGAGGAAAAGGGCCCTGAGGGGCCCTCAGAAGAGGCTGCCAGGACTAGGAGCAGCATGGTCAAGGGGGACACTTTGCATGAAGTGGACGCTGAGGAGGAGGAGGAAGCCAAGGGAACAGAGGAGGAGGAGGAGGTATTGGTAGAGGAGGAAGAGCTGTGGGAGCTGAGAGAGGCGGAGGAGCAGCGCCCCAGGAAGTCATACTCCCTGACCGAGTCCTTCGAGGAGGAGTTGATGGCCCAGCTGGAGGAGTACGAGCGTATGTTGATGGACTTCCAGAATGAGCTGGAACTCACCAGGGCCAGATATTCCCTGGCCACAGGTAGGAAGGGCCAAGGCGCTGATGCCACGGGATGTGGGTGAGCAGCCCTGCTAGCTCCACGCAGTGGGCCAGAGGGGCAGGAGACGTGGGTCCCCCACCACCACCACCAGGAGTTGACTGGGCTTTCAGATGAGCAACTGAGACCCTGCCTGGGGCTAACAGCTGGTGGTCCGTCCGTCTCCTGCTGTGCCATCTCCTGCCTTACCCTTAGGAACAATCACTTCATTACAAAGGCAGACCGACTTCCAAGAGTCTAGGCTGCGAAAGGTCACCACCGAAAATGAGCTTCTGGAAAAGGAACTCCGTGAACGAAAGCGGCAGATACAGACCATGACCAACAAGGTGACTGGGCTCTCAGTAGCCCCCACCCCACCCCCACCTCCAGGCCGGCTCAGTGAAGCAAAGTCAGCAGGGGCTCAGAAGCCCTAGCAGCTCAGGGAGCCTATGGGCCTTCCCTAGGAACAAAGATCCCAAGCCCAGGGCACCAGCTGGTGGCAGCAGAGCCAAAATTCCTAGCAGACATTGTGGACAGCCCTGCTGTCCTCTGGTCTTGTGCCATAGTAACCCTGGTTATTTCCTAAGCATTTGCCAGTCCTGATCCCTGGGCTGAGTTTGTCTGTATTTACAGTATGCTTAGCAGCTGGGTTTACCCGCACTCCTGTTAACACATGCCTGAGATGGTGTAGAAAGTTTTATTTTTACCCAAGCCACTCCACAAGTGCCTCCTTCTCATATCCCCCATCCCATGGCAATGGCTCCCAAGAGACTCCATTAAAGCATCAGATGGAGTCAACTCCATCATGACGTCATCAGTCATCAGATGACTTCCTCTTTGCGCAGGGCAGGCTGTCCTTTGCCCTCCTGACATCATGCTATCCCAGCCTCAGTGGCATCAACACTGCTAACATCATCCCCGCAGTTGCTTGAAACACACAAGAGTTCACTAAATAATGTTGAGATTCTTGTCATGACCTAGAGCTTCTGCATTGTCGGGGGCGGCCTTTTGGAGGCTGCAGTCAGAGCCAGCCGAGCGAGCGGCCCCAAGCCCATACCTGAGTGGGGGAGTGTAGTTGAGGGAAAGGCTAGCTATAGACGATAAAGAAAAGGCAGACACAGAATAAAAGTCAGGAGGGCGATCTGGCCTTCCTGGGAGGGCTGGGAGGCAGAACTGAATGTTTGTACTCTTGTCTGTCCTTGGCCTGGGCCCCATGCTGACCCAGATGTCTGCCCTACAGTTTTCCAGCCTCCGGGAGGAAAAGAAGCAGCAGGGGATAATGGGACTCATTGAGAAGGAAAATTTTACCCTCCGACAGGTGATGGCTTGGGCATTGCTGAAGGCTGGGCTGGGCTACCATCCTGGTGGGTTAGCTTAGATACCATGATGGACAGTTGAGTTGGGCCTCTTTCTCCAGACAGCACTCCACTCAACAGAGCCACACTGGGGTCCTCTGGTAATGGCTTGGGCAGGTGGCAGGAACCCAAGGAGCACTGCCTCCATCTCCAGCCAGACGGCTAATGCTCCGCCCTCCCTGTTTCCCCTAGCAAGTATCTGACTTGGAGACAGAGCTCCTCAAGCGTGATCAAGTCATCGCAGAGCTGCACAGCAAAACTGGCGAGCTACAGACTCAGGTGGCCCTGAGCGAGGACCACCTGAGAAGGTGGAAAGAGCTGCACGATGACCTCCAGAATCGGAATGAGACAATTCAGCAAGCAGAGCAACAGACTCGTGTGGTCCTGGAGTCCTGTCAGGCCAGGGTAATGCCCACCGTTGCCCCCCACTGAGAGTTCAAGCTCATAACCAACTATTCCTTACTCACTGCCCACACACACCAGGGCTCTGGCTCATTCTGCCTCAGGTTGCAACATGCAGTTTAGAGCTGGTGCTTGGAGAGCAGCGGGGGGGGGGGGGGGTGAGAGCTCATGGAACATTCTGGAAACACAGAGGGCAAGGGTCAGCATTGTTTATGGAGAAAGTGGGACTCGGGTTCAGTTAGAAAAGAGGGCAGGAGGGAGGGCGTTGGTGTCCATGTCTGTGCCCTATTCATCCCAACACTTCCCTGCCCCTCCCCAGCATATCCCCTTTCTGCTTCAAGTCCTCTTATCTTCTCTAAATGGCCAGTTAGTGCTGCCCATATGTGAATGGCTGTGGGATCATGGGGGGCGGGGATGAACAACCAGTCAGTGTCACCACACAAAGAAAAATGAGTCCTTCCCACAGCAGACATTAACTCGCAAAGTTCCTCAACCAGGGGTAGGACCTGGGGAGTCCATTCCCCTGCATGCGAGGAATAAAAAAATCATGTGTATGTGTGTGGGTGTCAGTGCCTGTGAGCACACGTATGTATGTGGGCCAGTACATGTGAGCACATGTATGTGTGTGGGCCAGTACATGTGAGCACATGTATGTGTGTGGGCCAGTACATGTGAGCACATCTATGTGTGTGGGTGCCAATGCGTGTGAGCACATGTATGTGTGTGGGTGTCAGGGCATGTGAGTACACATATGTGTGTAAGTGCCAGGACATGTGAGCACATGTATATGAATGGGTGCCAGGGCATGTAAGCACACATGTGGGTGCCAATGCGTGTGAGCACATGTATGTGTGTGGGTGCCAGTACATGTGAGTACAGATGCCTGCAGAGCCCAGAAGCTTCAGATCCCTGTGGAGCCTGAGCTACAAGGAAATGTAAACACCCCATGTGTGCGCTAAGAGCTTGTAACCTGTGTGGTCTGAATGAGCATGACTCTTATAAGTCCCTACGCTTAAATACTTGGTCCCCAGTTGATAACACTGCCCTGGAAGGACTAGGGAGTATGTCAAAAGACTCGATTATCCCCGGTGTTCCCTCTACCGCCAACTTGTGGGTCAAGATGTAAGCTCTTGTGTATGTATGCCATAATGCCCTTGCTTCACCTTCACAGACTTCAACCCTCTGGACCCTAAGCTCAAATGAAACACTTCCTTTTATGAGTTGCCGTGGTTGTGATGTCTTATTATAGCAATAGAACAGTAACTAGACAGGATCACATGCAGGTCCTCCACAGGAGAACAGGCTCGTCACCATTTACAATAGAGATTTTAGCTGGCTTGACATTGGCCCCATGGCTGTTTTTTTGATTGTCAAGGTTTAAGGGATATACATCACAGATGAGAGAGAGAGAGAGAGAGCTGTCTAAACAGCTGAGGGTCTGTAGAGAAGGGATGGGGTGAATTGTTAAGAGGCTGAGATGAGGCTGGAGAGATGGGCCAGCCATTAAAAGCTCTGGCTGCTCTTCCAGAGTCCATGAGTTCAATTCCCAGCACCCACAGGGCAGCTCAAAACCTCGTGCAACTCCAATCCCACAGGATCTGATGCCCTCTCTGGACCCTGTGGGCATTGCATGCATCTGGTACACAGATGTGCATACAGGCAAAACTTCCATACATATCAAATAAAGTAAAGCAAAACAAACAAAATAGAGGCTAGAGTCTTCAAGGGGCAAGTGGAAACTAAAATTTTAAAAAATTTGTGTCACTCAACCAGGGGTAGGACCTGGGGAGTCCATTCCCCTGCATGCAAGGAATAAAAAAATCATGTGTATGTGTGTGGGTGTCAGTGCATGTGAGCACACGTATGTGTGTGGGCCTCAACCAGGCCCACACACATACGTGTAAAAAAATCATGGAGTGGTCTTCACGGGGCTGCAATCGGAGCCAGCCGAGCGGTCCCAAGTCCTTACCTGAGTGGGGGAGTGTGGATGAGGGAAAGGCTAGCTATAGGTAATAAAAGAGAGACAGAATAAAGGTCAGGAGGGCAGATCAGTCAATACTGAAAAACCACGAGTTTTATTTTTCACCACTCTTATATACCATAACCAAAAAGTGGAACACAGCATCATGTGAATGGAACAGACTTTTCTTCCACTCTCTCCAAGGGTTCAATAACCACACCTTATCTCTAAACTTCTTGTTCCCTAGCCTTGAGGTCAGGAGTAGCCACATCTCAGATCCAACTTCTTCCTTAGCCTTGAGGTCAGGAGTAGCCACACCTCAGATCTTCTTCCTTAGCCTTGACAGTCAGGAGTAGCCACACCTCAGATCTTCTTCCTTAGCCTTGACAGTCAGGAGTAGCCACACCTCAGATTCAGGACTGTTGTTATTTAGACTAATGTTATGGCCGGAACATTCTTCTATAGCCACACGTTTGACCTTTAGGTAGGTCTTGTGGCTTGCTGACAGCTTTGAACTCTGCCCTTGAGCCAAGATGGAGCGCAGCCATCTTTATGGGCACCCACAACTCTTTTATTTTTAAAATATGCATGTGCATGTGTGAGTCTGTGTGTACATACTTACAGAAGCAGAGAGAGAGAGCATTTGATCCTCTGGAGCTGGATTACAGGCAGCTGTGTGTCCCGAGTCCTGTTAGCTGCTAGGACTGAACTCAGGTCCTCTGCAAGAGCGGCAAGTGCTCTTAACCCCGGAGCCATCTCTCCAGCCCTGTGCTGACATTTCCCCTGAGCTAGGAATATGTCTCAGGTGGAGAGCCAGCATGTGAGAGCCTCTCAGTTCGGTTCCCAGGACTTGTGGTGGGGAAGTGCACTTTTCCAGTTTAAGAACATAAAAGTCGACATTTTGGTAAACGCCAAAGCGCCTGTACTTCAATGTGGGGCCACCCAGACACTGGGGTCTGATCCAGAACATTCTAGCTCGTAGGCAATTCCTGTTTCCAGCCATAACAAGCAGGAGCAAGAAATACCTTCCTGGCCTACAGGGCGTACGGTGGCAGGACCAGGCATCCTTCTTGGTAACGGTGGGCGATGGCTCTCACCTTTGTTCACAGCTCGAGAGACTAAGAAATAAGATCATCCAGGCCGTCTTCAGTGTCAGTGGGACCAAGAGCTTGTCCACTGAGCTCTCTGACAACTACATCCTGGAGTCCCTGCAGGTGAGGGGACCCAAGCTGCCAGAGGCTGAGGGAGGAGGCGAGGCCTGGGCTCAGTTCAGAAGCCCAGTTGTCATCCCATGCGTCCATGCGTTGTAACTCCAGGACTGTCCTTTATCCCTGCTCAACCAGAGGGGGACCAGGCCATCCCCAGGGATAGCTCTAGCATGGAATTGGAGAGTCTGAGCTGCTCTGGGTCTCATGGAGGAGGGACACTCAGTTGCCTCTAACCCTCATCCCTGCCCATGGAGAGGGACAAGCTACCTGCATTCTGGGAACTTTCTGCCCAGCTCAACTTCCTTGTGGAGCCCCTTCCATAGGAGCTGCTGGGCCACAGTCCTGTCACAGGGCCTTGCCTCTTGGCCTCAACCTTGTCAACTCCTATGGCAGAAGCTTTAGAGGGGCCTGGGGGTGCAGGCTTTGGTGCCTGTGACGGGGAATAGTCACCAATCCACCAGCCCTCCATACCAACCAAGCAGCTTTGCCTTTTCCTCACTTGTGAGGCCATCCCTTTATAAGGGGGATGGACACGCCTACCCTGAAAGTACAGAGAGCCCTGGGCATCGCTGAGGTAGCAGGCTGCTCTGGTCGGGGTCATGTGCCACACGGGATCATATCTCATTAGCAGCCACCCTGTTCCCAAGGTCTAGTCCTCCTGTTGCATTGCTCAGTGAATCTAATATGCCCGCATTTCCCTGTGGCTTGTGAGGAGTAAGCCTGGGGTCACCGCCCCCTCTGCAGGACCCTGGGCATAGGCCTCGTGTCTGCCAGTGGGGAGGGAACAGGGACAGGAGGACAGAGAAGATGCCCAAGGCCTTGCCTTGTACCTCTGCTTGGAGGGAGAACAGGGCTAGGGCTGCGGAGGGGCTGGGTGGGTCCTCTGGATCTCTAGGCATCAAATGTTCCCTTGTGTGCCACTTTGAAGGGTGGGTGTGAGCGGACCGCTGGGACAAGGGCACATTCTCCTTCCACTCTGCGTCCTGGGACACCCTTCCTGTAGTCCCAGCCCCAGCAGGGATACCCCACAGCAGATCCACAGGTTTTGGGTAGCACTTGCCCACTGCAGCAAGGTGCGAGCTGGAGGTCGGTCACCCATTGACTGTTTCTTGTCCAGAGAATCATCTCAGAGAGAAGTGACTTCTATAGTCAGCTGAAACAGAAAGGCGTAAAGGTGCCCCCGCTGCAACAGTCAGACATCTCCCTGCCCACCAAGATGAAGAAGTTATCTCCCAAGTAGGCCTGGCTGAGACCCCAGGACCAGAACGTAGCCTGCCAGGCAGAGGCCAGGACCTGTGTGGCTTGCTCTGTGATTAAAAAAAGAAAGAAAGAAAAAAAAAAATTAAACCTTAGAGTTGGCCACTGCCTCATCTTCTCTGGTATCTACAGGACCTCATCCTTTGCATCGGAACTACCTGGGCCATGTCCCATGCCACAGCTCCCTCTTCTGGGCCACCGCCCACCCGCCCACTTGTGGGGAGAGCCACACTTCCAGGGCACTCTTCCAGGCTTCACTTTGCAGAGGGTCAGGGACCGTCCCCCTCCCACTTTAGACCCAACACTTCCGCCAAGAAGGTGGAGAAAGTGGGGATGGTGTAGGTGCTGAGGACAGCTCTTCCCCACCCACGGCCTCCTGGCGTCTGCGGTCACGATGTTTTGGCTGACAAAGTCTGAGCCACGCACCCTGCTGAATACAAAGCTCATCCGTCTGCGGCTCTTTACTCTCACATCTTCTGATCCTGCAGCCGCCGCCCCCCACCCACCCAGCCCACCCGTGCGCTGGGCGCCTCCATCTGGGGAGGAGAAAGAAGGCCTGGACTCTGCGAGGCTGGGCAAGGACCTGGCGCCCTCTGCAGGCCTCTCCCGTGGCCCGCGGCTCCGGCAGCCAGAGGGGGTCCGCCCCTCCCGATCTGTACCAGACTTCCCGGTCCGGTCCGGTCCGGTCCACTGACTGCCCCGTTCCCAGCCAGGCCGCCCTCATCTCAGCCCCGCCCTCCAGACCCCGCCCCCAGCCGCGGGCCCCGCCCCCGTCACCCCCGGGGCTGGAGACGCGTCCCCGGCGTGCGCGGCGGCCCTGGCGAGGGGCGCAGGTGAGACGCACTTAGTGGAGACTGCAGCAGTTGCAGCCCGGGGGAGGGGGTTCGCTGCACGCCCCCACCACGCCTGTGTCCTCCGGGGCTAGGGCTTCCCTGAACCTAGAATTCTGGAATGGGAAGGGCTAGATAGGCCTAACTACCAAGGGCTGTCAGGCCCGGAACTGCCGGCCCAGCTCCTGTCGGGCCCCGGGAACACCCTTGGGGCCAGTTTCTTCCTTTCCTAGAGCTATCTGTTCTTCTCTCCACTTTTGCTTTTTTTTTCTTAAGGATCGAGGTACCGACCCTACCTCACATCCTGGCTTACCCTACTGGGTGAAGGTGGGATCCACTGACCAGACCCTGACAGCCTTCCTGGGCACCGGAGGTTTCAGCCCCGGCCGGCCACGACTCGCCTTTGTAAGTTGGGGTCTCGGAGGTGCTCTGTGGGCAAACGGGTCTAATGAGCAGCCGCATGTTGGACTCCTGTGTACACACCTCTTCAGGGGAGGCTCTGTCTGGGTTTGAAGGGGCCTCCTCGCAGGCCCTTCCTACTGTGCCTATGACGGTTGTTCACGAAGCTCGGGAGAGCCTGGCCCAAGGAGCTCATTGCTGTCCAGTGGCCTGTCCAGCCACAGATGGTTGTCAAATAACAGGCTCCCACTACCTCAGGCTTGAACAAGCTGGGGAGATCCTCATACCCCAAATTCTCCACGTGGGCGGGTTTCATATAGATTTAGAGACAGCCCTGCTATGGCTAGTGTTGCATGGGTATTGAGACCGGCCGTGGCATGAGCAGGAAAGAGGTGGCCCCTCTTTATTCTGAAACAGTTTGCTCCCTCTCCCTGCATTCCTCCTGCCCGGCACTCTGCCCTCAGCTGGTGACAAGGCAAAGGAGGGACTGGGGTTTTAAATTCATCTCAGTGTGACTGGCTGCCGGCTGGGGTCAACACTCGTCTGCCCACCTAGAAGAAGGGGTTGAACCTTGCCCAGGTACTGGTGGTGCTGTTTGACACATTCCACAAACAGAGCCCACACTCCAGCAACACTCCAGCCTGAGGACACTTGTGGCTGTTAGGATGGCGCCTCCTTCCACCCAGGCCGCCTGGCACCCCCCGAGCTTCTGCTGTGCCTTTGGGTCGCCCTACGTCCTCACTGTCTCAGCTGCTGTGAGATAGGGTCCTGGAGCTGGGCGCTGTGAGGGGACGCTTGGATGCTTGGTATGCAGGAGACCTAACCTTCACCGTATCTCACAGCCTGTACCTCTGGTGTGTGCCCTGTTCTCCTTAGGTAAACAAGAGGCAACAGCAGAGATCAGAGGGTGTAAACGAGAGGGTTAGTCAAGTGTCCAGTGCAGGCCTGAAGGTAGGCAGGAGCGACCATGCATGGCAACATTGTCACAGTGACTCCTCCCTACCCACTGTCTGTTGGGGGGTGGGGGTGTGGCTGGCCCTGAGGGAGTCAGGGATGGATTGGTGATAGGAGCCTTCCTGTTCTAGGCACTCCCTGCTAATCTATAATCTACAGCCTTCTGGAGCCCCCGGCCCCCAGAAGCCCTGCTCCACCCCTCTCAGGGGCAGCAGGTGGAGGAGGGGCTGAGGACAGCTGCTGCCAGGCAGCTCCTTGGCTGGCTGGACTGGCAGTACCAGCCACCATGCACTGCTCATCCCTTCCCTTGCCAGCCTCTCTGGAGGGCAGCTCCAGGCCTTATCGGCTGAGCCTGGGAGGAAGACAGGTTATCAGGTCCTTGGCAGTTACACTTTCCTGGTCTCCGAGGGCGGCGCTGGCTGCCTCCCCTGATAAAGTGTCCTCCTGCTAGGTAGGAGAGCCCCTCACCCCTCAGAAGAGGCCCGGTCGGAAAAGCAGCGGACTGACATTCCTGAGGGTCAGGGCTGGGCCACTGCCCTGCCCCCTAGGTTGGAATTCCTGCTTTGCTTGGTCCTTCTGACCCTGACCTAGTTTCTTAATTATCCTGGTAAGTCCCACCCCCTCCTTCCAGGCTGACCCTCCCCTAAGAGCAGCTCCAGCCTGCCTCCTGAGTCCCGTCTGATTCCTGTCCTGTCTCCACTGTGAACCGTGTAGCCGCACTTGAGGCCTACAGCATGCAGCCCCAGGAGAGTGGTGTCCACTACAGCCGGTGGGACAACAGCAGCCGGGATGAAGTCAGCATGACTGCTATGTCCAGCTCAGAGGAGGCCTCATGCTATCGCAGGTAAAACCCCAGCAGGCCATGGCTCCAACCCCAGCCCCTGTGACAGCCCACCCAGGTGCTCATGGCTCTGGACCTTACCTGGGGTGGGGGGCAGGTAACTCCCCAACTCCAGCAGAGCACCCAGGCTCAAGCCTTTTCCCGATCTAGCCCTCCTTCCACACCCAAGCCCACCCGGGAGCCTCCCTGTAGCCCTGGCTTGGGCTCACTGGCTGTTCTCACTCTAGGCTCTCCCAGAAGCTGTGCTCGGGCAAGCTGGGGATCGCCATGAAGGTGCTGGGTGGAGTGGCCCTCTTCTGGATCATCTTCATCTTGGGCTATGTCACGGGCTACTATGTGCACAAGTGCAAATAAATGCTGCCCCATCCCCACCCTGGGGGTCCCCGCCCATGCACAGTCCGTTTGTACAGACACCTCCTCCAGGGCATATGAAGATGCCTCGTGCACTGCTCCGCATCTCCGCCACACAGGGTGGATCCACAACCAATTCCCGACCCAGGTAGCTCCAGATGCACACATGCTGGAGACCAGGCTCAGCCTGAGGGAATCTACTGAGGCTGGGCTTTGCACCCGGGGTGCCCAGATCCCTTTGGCCCATGCAAGGTGGGATCTTCTCCAGCCTAGGACCTAGGCCTGTTCCTAGCTGGGGCTGGACTCCTCCCTGTGGCCTTGAGCAAGGCTCCTGGTCCCTGAGGCCTTCCAGATTCCTGATTGTGCAGGGAGGTCCCCTACCTGTTTAGGGGACACAGATGGCCCCTTATAGACCTTTCTGTTTCTGTTCAGGGCACAGAGGCCTTCTCAAACACATTGCTTCTTTTGTTTGTTTGAAACAGGGTTTCTCTGTGTAGCCCCGGCTGCCCTGGAACTCACTTTGTAGACCAGAGTAGCCTCTAACTGGAACTCATCTGTTTCTGCCTCCCAAGTGCTGGGATTAAAGGCGTGCACCACCTGGCATACATTACGTTCTTTTAACAAGCTAGGCATGTTCTCCATGGCTTACCACCTCGGGGATGGCCCTGAGGGAAAATGGAAGCTGGGTGCCCTCTCCTCTGGCTCCCACTTAAGACAATCCACTGTCTCTGAAGGGACAGTGCTGCCCAGCCAGGCATGACTCCCTCCACAGCTCTTCCTGTTTGGCCTCCTGTCTCGGCCATCTCCCAACAACACACACAGACCTGCATAGACCTAAGGGTCAGGATGTGGCTGAACCGTGTTGAGGACAAGGCCTTCAACACTGTGGCTAACGTGGGACTTTGGCCCCCTTTCCAGTGGCCTACGTAGAACCTCCCTGGACCCACCCCTCATCCCTGGTGTGCTGTGAAACGGCCCGCAGGCCGTTTGCTAGAAGTCTTGAGGCAAAGTCTGCACCCTGGGCTGAGGGGCCGGAGGACACAGGAGCAGTTGCTGTCTGTGGGCAGAGAAGGGAGGCCAGGTGGTTGGGAAGTCCCTTCACTTGGCCCACACCGACAAGTGAATGGGCTTGGCCAATCTGGCCTCGTCCTAGGAAGCCCCTGGTTTGGATTGTCCTAAGCTGTGAGCCTTTGTGGTGTAGCTGCTCTGGCTGGCCCGGGTCTCTACGAGTCCATGTCTCAGTTCTAAGACACCTCTGCCCCTGCTTGTAGGCTCCAACTCATGGAAGACAGCTATGAGCGAGACAGGCATTGGGAGGTCCCAGGGGAGGGACCCTCAAAGGCCTAGCCAGGAGCAGGTGTGTCTAGACAAGGCAGCCGTGGCGGGGCCAGGGAAATGGGGTGCAGTGGGGAGGTGGGACTCCCCATGTGTCCCATGTGAGAGGCTCCAGCTGAGAGGAAGGCCAGCACCCAGGCTTCTCTGGGCGGTCCTGCACTTCTGGGGTGACATCGAGGAGTGGGCATCTAGCCACACCCTGTGCTGTGAACTGGGTCAGGTGCTCCCAGCCCACCCTAGCAACAGGCTGGTGTCTTCAGCCTAGTGCTCTCTGGCTGATGTCTCAAGTGACCCCAGGCCATGGGAACCCCAGCGGGGGTTTGGGCTGTGAATGTCTGCTACACTAGAACGGACTGTGGTACTGTCCCCAGGAGACGAGAGTGGGTTTTGATTAGTTTTATTAGAACAAAGAAGCGTTCTGCTTGTATTTGTAAAAACATTTCCAAAAATCTCAATACCACACATGGGCTGTGCTGGAGGGAAAAGCGGGGACTGGGGTGGGTGGGAGAAGATACAGACTTTGGTGAAGCCACACGGAATAGGTGAGCTGGCGCCATGGCCACTCAAAGGGACCTCTGAGCAACTGTGTGGTCACAAGGCAGCTCCCTGCCTCACCGAGCTCTGGAACACTGCCACGAAGGACCCAGGGCCTCGCTGGTTCTGACGACTAAAGGCTCTTGAGCACAGCCTCAAAACAAAAAACCCAAACCATTGTTGTTTAACAGAAGACAGAAATTGTCCTTTGAGATCAAAGACCAGCGAAGAGAGGTTGGTGTCAAGCGGACAGGCTACAGGGCCTGGTTCTCTTCTGCAGCCACTAAGGGGCCACTAAGTCCCTTCTGTACCGTGCACTTGGGCTCCGGGGATGGCGAGTGTGTGATGAGCACAAAAGCCAACACACAGAGAGGCCGGTGGTGTACAGTAAGGCTCTGACGTGGAACCCTGTAGGGAGGGCCTTGTGTGTCACACAGCTTCCTGTCACGCCACTGGCCGACAGTCCACAAACCAGCCTTCCCATCCATTCACAGAAATCTGTCGACTACATGGGACTAGGTGGGTGTGACCTCTGTGGCCCAGGAGCGGATGTACCAACAATGACCAGGGTTCCTGTTCTGGGCACAGTTGTGGGAGCAGAGCAGTGGCACCGTGCTAAAAACATTAAGACGGCAACATGATGCTCCCAACTGCCTCTGCACAGGTGGTGTTAAAAAAAAATGCTATTAACGAGTTGTAGAAAATCAAGTACTGTTCAATAGAATGCCTGCCACTTAACCTGAACTTGCACCTGCACGTCAAAGCAAGCTCGGTGTCCTTCCCAGGTTCCCTGCCACATGATCCAGAACACCTCCAGCGGTTATTGAATAATCCACGGGAACAGGAGAAGCGCATTAGTGTTGCGACAATAACACGGCTCCCTTTACAACAGTCACCTAGACAAAAGCAGACACCTTCAACCACCCAGAGAAAAGGGACCATGGAGAACAACCGCACAGACACCTACAAGCCAGCACACCCACAGGAGCCACGGTGAAGCCAGGTGGGCCGCCTCGACTGTCAGCGAACCACAGTCACGTAGGGAGGGGTGGTGAGCAGGTCGGCCTTGGATGGGTACACCACCTTCAAGCTCCCCTCCAGGTCCACCACTCGGACCTGCTCCACCACCAGGGGGCACTGTCCGTCCTTCCCGGCTCTGGGATCCAGGCTGGAATCAGAAGGCCCACAGCCGGCACCAGGTTCCGTATCCGAGAGTGCCTCTTCCTCTTTATTTTCTGAGGTGCTTTTGTTCAGTTCCACCATTTTCTGCAAATGAAAACAGACGTTTTAACAGAGAGAGGAGAAGTGACCCACAGAGCGGCGAACAGCAGCTCTGTCGAGAGAACGCAGAACTGCTCCTGGGGTTGGGGCCGCTGCTCACCAGAATGAGGGTGTCCATGATGTCTTTACAGAGCTGTAGGCTAGTAGCGCTGGTCACTTCCAAGAACAAGTTGCACGTTGTTTTCTTAATCTTAAGAGTTGGGTTTCAGGAAAGAATAGTTATTGGTGCTGGTACACCAGCTGCTCAACGTATTCAGAAGAAAACTCTATAAGCAGAGTTACACAGGGCTTGCCTCGAGTTAAGTCCCCAGCGCTGCATACACCAGGCTCGGCGGTGCACGCCTGTAACCAATCCTAGCTAGCGCCAGGGGAGCAGAGACAGGCCAGCCTGGGCCACAGCACAGTGGTGGCACCAGGAGTGAGCAACGCCAAGAAGCAGAGGGCCCCAGCCCCCCACTTCGCATTTCTATCTCTCACAGGCGGGCACTAGACGGCAGGACAGCCTAGAGGACGCGCCCATGCTTTCGACATGGCCTACCTTCGTCTTCTCACTGTTAGTTATAGGAGGGAAAGAAATCACATCTCCTTCGGCGTCCACAAGGCAAGGGTAGTTTTCCTTCCCATCCAGCAAATGAAGGTACCTGTGTGGGGGGGGATCCAGGTGACAGACAGGTGGGCAGTGTGAACTAGTGGTAAAGCCAGGCAGGGGCAAAGCTCTGCAGATGAGCCCGGTGAAACATCAAAGCCCACGTCTGTAGATGTGACAGTGGAGCTGCTTCAGCCCTGCACGGCCGTCTGCCCAGTGACCAGTGTTGAAGCTGAACAGAGAGGGCCTGGGGTCGACAACCCTGACCCTGCTACTGAGAACCAGACGGCTGTCTGGAGCAGGGCCCACCCCCCCCCCCCAAACCCCCGGCAATGGAGTTTGGCTCTAGGAGGGGTAATCACTCTCCCTTAGAAGGAAGTGTGTGGAGAGCCCCTCCCTGTCTGGTTCTGTTGAAGGTCTGGTAGCTGTGGGGCTGGCCGTGGTACAGTTGTTTTGTAGTGGGTGGTGAGCCCAGACCAGAGCGCTGTATCTGCGGGGTGACTGACCTGTGCAGCCCTGAGACGCTCTGCCGCTTCTTCTGCTTTCTCTGCTCCTCAGCCTCCAGCTGCAGCTGCTTCACCAGCTCCTTGGCTTTGGCTTCTCTCCGCCCCAAGGGCACGATCTGTAGGAGCAGAAGCCCATAGCTCATTGTGCTACTGAGGCCACCAGTGAGCACGAGGGTTGCCATACACCTATCTCTCCCTTTACCTCCAGCCGGGGAGTCGGCTGCATGTCTAAAGACATGCAATCGCTCAGAACACCAGTGGAGAGACAGGAATCAGTCACCTGAGCTGGTGGAGTCAGGCATGCAGCCGGCAGGCACCTGAATCCCTTCCTCTGGGTTTCTATGCCAAATCCAAGCTTGGAAATCCCAGCCCAGAGCAGCAACCTGGAGAGTCAGCTCACTTTACAGGTGTTCTTTAAGTGGGACATAACCCAAAGTCCGTAGTTAAAGTTGGAGCTAGCTAGGCATGGTGGCACACGCCTTTAACCCCAGCATTTGGTGCAGAGGCAGGTAGATCTCTGTAAGTTCAAGGCCAGCCTGTTCTACACAGAAAGTTCCAGGCCCTGTCTCAATACCAGCCGATGAGGGAGGAAGTACCTTCCAACGCCCCCTTCACGATGGGCATTTGCATGGCTACGCGCTGCGCCCCAGAGCGAGGGCAGAACTCACGTCCCAGGTTAAGCTGCTCCCCAGGCCCCACCCCCAGCCCCAGAGTCTCCTGAGGACAAGTGCAGAGCAGCTGGGGCAGAGTGTTGGGCACCTTGAGGTCCTCGGGCGGCCATGCTGTATAGAGCAGGGGCCCGCGCACTGCCTGGAGGTCGTGGGTGGCGATGGTCGCTGCTGTTCTCTTCTCACAGAGGTCATCATGGAGCTTTGTCTAAAGACGAGAGTACAGTAATGGGCTTCAGAGTCCCTGCTGTCCAGGGAGGAGCCCACATCGAAGCCAGTGGCCTGCAGTGCCCGCCCACCCGCCCGCCCGCAAGCTCGCCATCATAGAGTGGCACCTCCCCGACTCCCAACTACGTAGGATCCGGTCACCAGCAGCCTCTCTTCTCTTCATTTCTAGAACTTTCATCTCAACCTATTACTCCATCTATGAGACAGACTGTAGGTCTGCTGCTAGGCTGGAGAGGGGCATGGGGGGGGGCACTAATGGTTTCCTCCCTGAGCTGCTGAGGGAAGAGTCTCAGACAGCAGCTCTGGCCTTGCTAGCACAAGGCTGTACTGTCTCTGCTAGGCACAAAATGCAAAGACATGCTTCTTATTCCACAAGGGAGGCAGGGCCAGAGGAGAAACCTTAGGGGGCGTGGTCCAGTCAGCCAGACCCAGAAACTGCCATGAGAATGTGCTGCTGAGGAGGAACAATTTTACATTCATTCATTCATTCATTCAGTTTTGAGACAGGACCTCCCGGTGGTATAGTCTTGGTTGGTCTGGTAGGACTAGAATGGCCTGGAACTCAGATTCATCCGCCTCTGCTGGGACTGAAAGGGTGAGCTACCATGCTTGGCAAGAAGAAGACACTGTAACGTGATCTCATAGAAGAGCAGCTGAGCATTGTACCGCAGAAATCAGAACTATCTCACTGGTATCAAACATGTCTGAAGTAGGGCAACATGTGAGAGCTGTGTGAGGGATCCAATAGCCCAGGCCTAGCAGATACTTGACGAGGGTGTGCTCTGGAAACCAAGGACCTGCTGGGGATGGGTGATGGACCTTCCACATCCTGAACCCGGGAGGGCCTGCTACACACACTACCACTGAAGCAGGGAGACTTGAGGCATGGAGACCGCCTTGCACCCCCCCCCCCGCCCCCGTCCCTGACCTGCCTGCTGGCCCCAGTGGTGCACCCGGCATGCAGCCTCCTCAAATCTGCCTGCTGCATGCACGCCCACCCCAGCGCACAACATCCACCGGGTCAGCCTGCTGCATGCACGCCCACCCCAGCACGCAGCCAAGCCTGCCTGCCATGGATCCACCTCCGGCATGCAATCAACCCCCCAAGAGTCTGCCTACTACCGAGCGCCCACCTGAGAGTTGAGGAAGCGCCGGAGTGCATTTCCTGGCTGCAGGTCCATGCCCCTCACGACGGCCCCGACGATGTATGGGCGTATGTCCCTGACCTCAGGGCTCACCCTGACCGTCAGGGATGTGGGGTTCTCGGAGACGTGCAAGACCTTGAGCATCAGCCGCGCTGAGTCTGCGACCTCCTCGTCCACCTCCCCGCTTTCCCGACGCTGCTTCCGCTGCTCCCGCCTCTTCTTTCGGTCCTCCTTCTCGGAGCCCTCCTGCCGGCCCTTGCCCCGACCGCCGCGACCACCAGCACGCAGGTACTCTAGGATGGATTTGGTCTGGCAGCCTCCCACCATCTTCTCCAGGCGCTTGTCCCGAAGCTTGTTCCCTCGGAAGTTGATCTCCTTGAGCTTAGGGCAGTCCGCCAGTTCAGCAGGGATCTCGGTCAGCTGGTTGTTGGACAGGTCCAGTGTCTGCAGTGAAAGGGAAAGAAGAGATGGATGTCCAGGTCTGGGCAGGCGGACAACAAGTTGTACTGTACTGTGGTCCAGGCCCAGGAGCTACAGACAGGCTACCCCGTGAGTTACCTGCATGGCCACACGCGTCACACACAAACCCCCCTCCCCCACATCTACAGAGCCTTGCCAACTCAGGGCATCAGGCCTGCAGACACCATAGCAAACGCTGAGACCTGTCAGCAGGCTAGGGGACAGACCAGAGCTCCTTCCAATCTGAAGCAGGCTCCTCAAATGGCGCCCCACCAAACACCAGCAAACCCTCTCCCCACACCAAGTATGACATCACTAGTGAACACTACTGTTCCCTTTCCTGAGGGTGGGCTGCAGGGAGGCAGTAGGGCCGTCGTGCCCATGCCATACACGCAAAAAGCCCGGTGATCTGTGGAAAAGAACTTCCTGTCGATATCCTGCTGACGGACAGATGCTGTTTCAGCACTGTGCAGGAAGAGTGCAGCCCTTGAGCATCTATAGCCTTTTTGGTCGTTGTTGTTGTTGGTGGTGCTCAATGGCAGGCTGGGGAAACAAATGCCTGCCCTGCCTGCCACCCTTTATAGCGCAACAGTGTCCCGTCTGGGGGCATCAACGGTCAACAGCTTCTTTGGTCTCTTGCAGCAGCCACAGCTGCTTCAGTGAAGACGATGGCTACTCTCTCCAGAAGACGGTGTTTTACCACAGAAAACCAAGAGCCATCCGAGCTTCGATGCCAACAGATACCTTGTGCTTTTGAGAACCATACATAAACAGTTTTCTCAGAAGCCAGGCAGTGGAGGCATGCGCCTTTAATCCCAGCACCCAGGAGGCTGAGGCAGGTGGATCTTTGTGAGTTCAAAGCCAGCCTGGTCTGCAGATTGAGTTACTTACAGGTGTAAGGATTCAGGCATTATGCTGGCCGCCCCCGTCACATGGCAGAATACACTCAGTGCCGTACTCTGGTCAGCCCAGGGTTCCATGAGTACTAGTCTGCAGGCAGGTTTAAGGACGCCTTTAAAGGACAGGACCCCACCCACTTACGCTCTCTTTTGTTTTTGGTCTCTCTTCTGTTCCCGGTGCCTCTATGTGTCTTCCCTTCCCCCTCACTCCCCTTTCTAAATAAACACACTCAAGCTCTGTCTGCCTGGCGTGTTATTCCCTCCGCCTGGGTCACCCTCACCTGCTGTGGAACCCGCTATGCTCTCCCATGTGGTCCCTCACCTTGGGACCCCACCCACTCAGGATACCCTCCCCCCTTCTCCAGCTTTATCCTATAACTGTAACAAAAGGACAGGACAGCCAGGGCCACACAGAGAATCCCTGTGTTGACCCCCCCCCCAAAAAAAACCCGCTTTTCTCGGGGTTGGTGGGGTCTCTGGCTGCCTTGTTTTTTGCTCTCACATCAAGCATCTTTTAGAAGAGCCTGGGAGGTCTGCAGTCACCATGGTGTGACTCGACACCTCACCCCTGCACTCAGCCGGAGTCTGGGGGGCAGCTGAGTCCTTGGAAACTGGCAGATGACAGACAGCACAGAGAAAGGGAAAGGACCGCTAGTGAAAGCCCCTCCGCTCTGGGTGGCGGAGCTTCTCAGCCTCAACTATGGAAGCAAGTGAGAAGGAACTCAAGCCACCAGGCTGCTTGTGGTGGGAAGACGGCACAGAGGGGCTCCAGACACAGCACAGGGCAGGCGACCGCTATTAAAGCAACAGAGGCTGCATGGCAAGGCTGCCCTGCTCATGCGGATGTCCCTGCACGGAGTCACCAAGAGCAGAGCTGCTGGCTGTGTCCACGGTGTGTGCTCCTCCACCTGCGCACTTAGAGCCTAACTAAGTATTTCTTAGATGCGGGTGTCATCTGGTGAGGCATCTCAGGGAGGTGCCAGGTTCAAGCACAAGGCTCAGCTGCTTCACAGCCTGGAGCAAGCTCGTGAAGTTTTAATGTGTTGTTCTGAGTGTGTGCAACTGGCCTCATAAAAGCTGGGCAGGCACTTCCCACAGAGCAGTCATGTCTGTGTTCAGATGGGTCTGGGGCATTCCAGATCTGTGTTCTGTGCCTCTCCACCCGCTGGACCTAGCTGGTTCCCCCGAAACTATTCTAAAAGAGGACCACTCTAAGACACGATCAGGAACCATGTGCTGGGCATGAGCCAGACTCCTCCCGACCCTGTGCGGTCACCAGCCCACGGGAAGGGGCCCTCTGGAAGGGAGCCCGAGAGTGTAGGCCCCCTTTGACTGTCAGTTTGCAGTCTGTCTGCAGCCCTGTGGGTGTGGACGTGGGGGCTCCTGTGCTCCCCGAGAACACACTTCTCAAACACTGGGGTGAATGAACTGTTCCTGCTTCTGAAGCAGACTGTGAAAAGGCCTGTCAGGCCCATAAAGAAGGGTCATTTCATTTTACCTCAAGATCAGAGTTCAAAACTGTCCTTAGACCTGTAAGTCTAAGCTTGGCTGCTGCAGGATGTTTTAGCCTTCCTGGAGGATGTCTTTATCTAAATAACAGACTTGGGCTCAGGTGTATTTACCTGAAGGCCAGATGGCAGGTGTGCCTACCAAATACCTGGAGGATTAAGGGAAGTCTGTTTGCCCCTTATACATGATAATAGAAGTCTTCGGCTATCGGCTATTGTCCCCACACTTTTGGTTGGGTACTTAAGGATGTTGGGGCGCTCGGTATGGACTGAATTTGTCCTCCTGACGTTGCCCCCTCTTGCCTTAACGTCTGCAGCTAGCCTTTCTCAATCCACACTCCTAGATCCTAGCCGGCTGGCTCAACTTCAGACCCCCCCACCCCATGTCAGTCTGAGCAATGTAAAATATCCTAGTATTTTTTTTCTATTCATCAGTTATACAGACGAAGCAGAAATCCTCTTCCTGACCATCCACAGCTATGTGTGTGTCCGACAAGTGTAAAACACGCCACCAAAGGGCTGTGGAAAGAAGCCCACGGCTGTTCTCATCAGGGAGGGGTAATAGTGGCTCCAGAGAGTTATGGACAGGAAACAACCAGTCATTTACAGTCAGTACCGTACAGCTTTGCCATGGGGGTCGATTTGCTAAGCACTCGCCGTCACTGCTCTATATTCCCACGGCCTCTGGCAGCCGGAAGCTCTCGGCCCGCTCCCACTGTTAAAATGCAACTTACTGAAGACCTAGGAGGGAGAGCAATAAATAAGTGGGCGGCCCGAGCGGCTTCCGTGGGATACACCCAGGGACCAGCCACCTCAATCTCAGGAACCACAAAAGTGGCCACGGCTGCCGGGTGAAGCCTGGGCTTACCAGGTCCCCCAGATGAGTCTGGCTACAACTGCGATTTGAGACTGGAGCAGACTCGTTTGCCTCAGGTTCTCGTCAGAGACAGAGGTTTTGTCCCTGTGTGAGTATGGGAGGAACCAGTGCCTGCCCGGGAAGAATCTCCATGGGGATGAATGTCCTTGATGACTAAGGTGCCATCCTGCCTACTTCAGCAGTCTCAACTGGAGAGCACAGCAAGCCGGGCGTCAGTGATGTCACATAACCAACACTCCAGCCCTGGCCTGATTCCCTGGCTTACCACAGCTCTGGCCTGATTCCTAAGAGGCCACAGAACCCCAGAAGACAATGGATTTTACTCTAGGTTCACAGGCCTCCCCCCAAAGGGGAACCAAGCCTCGCAGGTCTAAGGCAGAGCAAAGAACCCATGTCCCAACTAACAGTCAACGGGGGAAGCCAGCTGCTCCTTGCATTCCTTGCCCCAAATGCTGAAATACCAGACTCAGTTCTCCTACTGTTTTCCTGCTGTTATGCCTGTGGTCCTGTTGGTAGCTCCTCAAGCTGTGTGGGGCAGCTCCCGGGCAATGGCCAAAGCATCTGCATTTGATTCTCCTTTTCCGAAGCGAGGAGATGAGTAGGGTCCTTGCCTGTCCTGGGCTTTGCTTTCCCAACCAGTGGGATTGTGGTTTAGTGACGAGAGGGGTTCCAAGAAGATGGATAACGCGCAGATAACAGCCAGCTCAGCCCAGTGGCAGCTGAACCAACCTGTGAGGCCAGAGCAGGCCATGGCTGATTAAAGAGGGGCACCATGTTATAGTAATCATAGACCTCCTGGAAAACCAAAACATCCACTACATAGGAAGGCACAGTGTACAGCCCATGTCCCACCTAAGTCACAGGGCTGACTATGACCTAGGTAGGGGTCTAAGGCTCACAGGAAGTCACGTCCCACAGCCTCCTACAGGAGAAGCTAAAAAACAGCTATCATTTCTGCAAGTGGCTACTAGCCAAGTCTAAATAGACATGTAGACGTATTTTCTATGCTGATATACCTTCATTATGAAACTTCTGCATAAACTCAAGGATGACAGTCAAGAAGACCCATAGGCCTGCCCTGCAGAGGATGCACATGGGCAGCACATGGGCAGGGACGGACGGACGGACGGACGGACGGACACACACACACACACACACGACTGTGGAGGGCCCAGACTGGAGTCAGGTCTGGCTGTGATCCTACATCTTCTACCTTCCCACCCCTCCTCACTCAACAGACTTAATGAGCACCTGCGGGGGCGTCAAGCATGGTGGGAGCTGGGTCCGCAAAGCACAAGAAACCAGTCACTTACACAAAGCAGTCCTGCGGAAAAACTCTAGGTGTACTCTTGTCGGCTTTGGGTAGGCACTTGAGCTTTCTGTGCCACGGAAGCCACGACCCCGACCGACCTCTGAAGGCTGTTGTTAGGGCGAACGCTATACAGACCTCGATCTGTCAATTCCCGCTCCCTGGTGCTTTGTGTCTTCTCTGGATGCACCGTCGTTTGGAAACCCCAACAGTCACAATTAACACACAAAGGACCTGGACCTGGCTTCCCGCTCTTGGGCTTCTTCCCACACAAGAAAACAACTTTAAGACTGTCCCACGTCCAGACACCCCCCGAGCGCGCGGGTCGGAGACGTGGCCGCAGACGGACCGGCTGCGGAGGCAAGGGCATCCTCCGAGGGGGTCCAGCAGGACGCGCTCCCCACCTCTTGGGCCCCCTCTGACCTTGAGCGAAGCCAGGTGCGCGATGTCCCGGCTGAGCTCCCGCAGGCGGTTGTCGGCGGCCGCCAGCTCACTGAGCAGGGGCAGAGCTCCGGGCCGGAAGAGCTCGGCGGGGAAGGCGTCCAGGCAGTTGCCGGTGAGGTTGAGGGTCTGCAGGCGAGGGGCGCAGCGCGCCAGGTCGGCGGGCAGCTCGCGCAGGCGGTTGCCGCTGAGGTTGAGGCTCTGCAGCTGGGGCAGACCGGGAGGCTCGGCGGGGCCCAGGCCCTCGCCGGGCGGCAGCGCCTCCAGCGCGTTGCCCGACAGGTCGAGCACGCGCAGCGCCGGCAGCGGGCCCAGCTCCGGGCTCAGCCCGGGCCCCAGCGCGTTGCGCCGCAGCACCAGGCTGTGCAGCTGCGGCAGGCCCTGCGCCAGGCCAGGCCCCGGGGCGCGCAGGCTGCTGCAGCCGCTAACCTCCAGGTAGTGCAGCAGCGGCAGCGTGAAGAGCCGCGGCGGCAGCCGTCCCCCCGCCGCCTTCACCCGCTCCTCCAGCCCGGGCCCGGTCAGCAGCAGCTCGCGACGCCGCTCGCGCTCCGCCAGCTCCAGCTCCGGCCACGGCTCGGCCGCGGCCACCTCGGCCGCCGCCACCGCCATCGCTGCACCCGCGCGCCGCTTCCGGAGTGCGAGCTTTTCTTCCTGCGGGAGCCGGAAATGACCGCAGAGGGCACACCTGCTCCTCGGGGAGTCTGGAGTTTGCAGGATGGGCGGGCGGGGCGCTCACTCCTAGGGCGGTCGAGTGTGGGTGCGAGCGGGTCGTCTCCTTTCCTTTCCCATCACCCGAAACACCAGCCAAGGACGCAGGGGATGCAGCCTCATTAGCGGAGCACGCTTGCCTGAAGCCCTCCCTCGGTTTGATGATCCCCAGCACACCCGTCAGCTGGCGGAGGCGACCTCGGCTCTGCTGCAGCAAGTTTGAGGTCACAAGACCGTGTCTCAGAAACAGTGGAAGAGGCAGGCAAAGAGAATACAGATTTAGCCAGTGTGGCACACTGGGACGAGGAAGAGATAAGGGGCAGCAGGGACCCCCAACCCGTCTTCAGGGTACCTACATGAGCCTTAGGTTTACTTCCAGAAAAGAACTGGGACGGGCCGCAAGAGGTAACCCCGCAGTTGATAGAAACGTATGCCAGCCCAAGGGTCAAGCCCCAGTACTGGGGTGGGGGTGGGGGCGGGGGAGGAGGCAGCAGTCCTGGGCCAAGGTGTGACTTAGCCATCTTTATCTATGTTCTGGTCCTGCAAGGTGGTCCAAGAAGTTGAAGTCACATCTGCTGCCTTCCTCCGAGGGAGAACAATCAAACTTCCATAGCTACTAATTAATGCTCCAGTATTGAGGCCCGGTGTTCAGCAATAATGAGCTACAACAAATCTCACTGCATCGTGACTGGACCGCACTTATTGTAAGATAACATGGCACGTCCCGTCCGTGGAGCCTCGAGTGTGATTACTGATCTTGTCTGTGGTTTGCTAGGGAATTGTGCAGGAAGACTCGGCCAGGGTGAATGGGGGTTGGGGACTGTCATGGTGGTTATGACTCGGGATGACTTAAGTTCTGTCAGGTGGAGCCCATGCGAGAAGGAAGGCCCAATACACCACCAAGGGGCTTAAAAAAAAAAAAAAAAAAAAAAAAAAAAAAAAGCAGCAGGAAAAGAGGAAACAGACAGATAGACATCGACTGATTCAGCTTGCCTCCCTCTGGTGTGGGGGACCCGTAGTAAGAGACTTGGAGACACCTCCTCAGGTTCTTCCCTAGAATGGAAATGGACCTCCTCGTTCGTGAATGTGACTCCTTGTTGGTCTGACCCAGGTGAGACCTGTATCAGCCCTCAGCACAGCAGGACTATAAGGTGAAGCCTTGTGCTAACCCGCTGAGGCGGCACTGGGAAGTACTGATGCATTTCAGAAGCAATTATTTCCACCTGTAGGTTTTAGAGTGGGCTGGAGGGAGGTGTGCTTGCCCCTGTACTGGTGTGTGAGAGTCCCTGTTGCAGGGGATGAATCCAAGCAGGGGGGGGGGAGCCTCTTGGGGAGGAGGGGGATGAGGAGGTGAGGAAATCAACAACCAGGTGAGAAGCAAAAGCAGAGGCATTTACTAGGGGTATAGGCAGGACTTTTGTATTCCCTCCTGGGACCCAGGGGCTGCTTCTCTCTCTCACAGGCCCAGGTTATAATATTAGTGGTCCCCTGGCCTCCATCACACTCCAGGTTGGCTCAAGAGGAAGCTATGAATGCTGCAAACACACAGGCTGCTCTATTAGCTACCTCCTCCTCCAAGTTCCCTCTCTTAAAGACACAAGGTCTTGGTTGGTTATGCTTTCAGGGTCCTCCCCCATCTTCTCTGGGTCAGAGCTCTGTACACAATAGGCACATGCTGTGCCCCCCCTCTGTATGTATGTATGTATGTATGTATGTATGTATGTATGTATAGATCTTAGTTTAGGGTTCCTATTGCTGTGGTGAACACAACAAAAAAGCAAGTTGGGGAGGAAACGGTTTATTCGGCTCACACTTCCACATCACTGTTCATCAGTGGAAGTCAGGAAGTCAGAAGGAAGTTAGGACAGGAACTCAAGTCAGGCAGGAGCTGATGCAGAGGTCTTGGAGGGGTGCATACCGCTTGCTTCTCATGGATTGCTCAGCCTGTTTTCTTATAAAACCCAGGACCACCAGCCCAGGATGGCCCCCCCCCCATCAATCACTAACTGGGGAGACGCCTCATTGTTGGAGGTGTTTTCTCAACCGAGGCTTCTTCCTACTCCAGTGTGTGTGAAGCTGACATACAACCAACCAGCATAGCATCCAACTGCTCATCATTGTCTACACAACCCTACAGGGCAAGCAGGTGTGGAAAGATTTAATTGCACTTTAAAATATATACTTAATAAAAAGGGGTAACTAAAGGCCCTCAGAGAAAGGGCTTTGAAATTTTGAAATGTGAAGAGACACTGGATAGCAGAAAGGAAATTTGCTGAGTTAAATGCATACTTAAGGGCGGACACCTGGGACTCAGAATGGAAGCCAGGGTATTTGTTACATCAGGGAAGAGGCTTTGCTTTTGTTTCCACGGAAGAAGAAAAGCTGTGGATACCATCAAAATTGAAAAAGATTAGATTTGAACAGGAGACATCTCTTGATTAGGAGAGGTGCCAGTTCAGAGCTTGGTCTTTCAACCCAAACTAACTTCTAAGACTAACAAATGCCTTTCATTTGATAATTGTTTTATTAAAAGATAACACATTTTCTGTTGCCATTGTTCTTTTTGGTCTTAAGAACAAAGACATAACCTGACCCCCCAAAAAACAAACAAACAAACAAACAAACTTCCCAAAGTTAGGATTAGAGAAGGATTTTGTTTTTGTCTACCCAGGAGAGTAAAAGCATCCAACCAAGGAATCTGAAGATCACTGGACAAATGAGACATCTGAAGAAAAAGTTTGAGTCATCCAGAGGAAAATGTCCCAAGAAAAAGAGTAAATTTCATCTAATTCCAGCAGGATAAAATTTCATAAATCTGTCCAAATATTTTTTTCTGTTGCTCTTTACAAATATAAAAGGCAAATGGTCTTTTTGTGGTTCTGATTCAGTTGAAAAATGAAAGCATGCTTGTTAAAGAAAAAATTCAAAATCTCTGTCTGGTGTCAGAAGAGTCACCTAATATGGAACAGAAGAAAAACCAAAATTAAGGAACTGTTCTATTCACTAACTTATAATCTTTTAGCTTTGACTCTTTAAAACTTTTCTTAAGGTATAAATACTATTTTAAATTTCTAAGACTTTTATCTATCCATCTTTACATTTTCTATCATATTAATGGTCATATAGAGTACCTGTATGTAATTTTGGGCTTGAGTCTGAAGCAGGTAAGTAAGAATTAGACTTACATACCCTGGATATACTTAACAGATTGTGGTCCTTTAACCTCTGTGAGATCTGCTGCATATGACATTTAAAATGTTTTGAGTTTTCTGCAGTGAACCATGACCATTCTTAACAATAGTGACCTTTGAAGTCTCCAAAAGGAAAATGGGGCCCCACAATGACAATTCCATCCAAAGATCAGCTCTAAATTGCAAACTCTCAGGACAATTTCAAGGTGGTTGGCTGAGATGATCCATGTAGACAGATTTTCTGTCCTGCCCAGTCCTGCAGCTGTTATGTTCCAAATAATCACTCCTAGGCTTATACGCTGTTTGGCCGATAGCTTGGGCTTCTATTGGCTAGCTCCGTCTTGATTTATTAACCCTGTTCTACTAAAGTACGTATTGCCATGAGTTTGTGGCTTACCCGTAACGCTCTTGGATGTCACTCCTTTAGCAGCTACATGGTGTCTCTCTGGCGCCTCCCTCTTTTTCTTCCTCTTCCCAGCATTCCCAAGCTGGTAGCCCTGCCTATACTTCCTGCCTGGCTACTGGCCAATCAGCATCTATTCATCAACCAAAAAGAGAAACATATATTCACAGCATATAGAAGGACGTCCCCCATCAGATTCAGCCTCACAGACTCCAAATAAGGCCCACACTTTCCCATTTCACAGAGACCATCAACAAAGGATACAGCTAGCTCTCACAGACTTGACCATTATCTCAATTTTCTCAGGGTCCTCTAAGGATGCCGTCACCCCCAGACAACAGAAAATAATTTTAAGAACAAGACATCCATAGTCTCAAGAGGTGGGTGTGGGTGTTTTTTGGTCATTTGGTGGGTTATGAATGTTTGTCATCTTGGGGGGGGGGTTTGATCACAGGTTGTTACTAGTCATGCAATCGGAGAAAACTAAGCAGGGGAGGTTGCCGGCAAGGATCTATTTCTGAAAAGAAAAGGGGGGGGGTGATATTGAAAGGATAGGATGAATGGTTAGATTATTGAACCCACTTTAAACTAAAATGCAACTATTAATCTCAAATGTTTTACACTGGTATGGATTTTTTTATATTGATACAAATTTAAGGCTACTTCTGTTAGAACATACTCTCTATACGTAATTTTTCTAATTTTAAGGTATTTTTGTATATTGACGCAAACTCAATGTTTTTGCTATATTGTGTAAATTTCTACTCTAGATAAAGACATTGTACCTAAGTAGCTCACTTAAAAATGTGATGTATAATTATAAAATATAGGTTAGTATTTAGTCATCTGTAATAATCAAACTTGTAATCATGTTAGATATACCTTCAAGGTTAGAGATATATTTCAGATAGATAGGTGGTCTTCAAACAAGTCGAGAGACCTACAGAATATGGCATTTAAGACGTTTTAATAACAAGGCTTTCACCACAGTGAGACACATATGCTCCAGCAGCACCAATTTACTTCAAACAAGGATGATGGGCATCCAAGAACCTCCATATGGAGTTTGCTTTCTTTGTGGCAAAGTTAGCTACTGTGCAAGAAACTGCCCTGGCCTCAACTGCTGACGGTATGCTGTCCAAATTGGGTAAGCAGCGGCCCCATCTCCCCAAAGCAACTGTTAACTTTTGCCAAGACAGTAAGACAGTCCTTCAAAATTCTTGCTTCACAGAAAAGTTGATCAGATATGCTAGGTCTGTAGGCTGAAGATGGATGCCCCAATGTTGCAGAGGAACCCTGGGTGACTGTCCAGGAAGTCTCTGTCACTTGTATAGTTTGAAAAATGTTTGCTCTGCCCTTCTAGGGTTTGTGATGGGGGTTGAAGATGAGGCAGTTACAGTTTTGTGTTACCAAGTTCCGAAAACAAGTCTTACAAAAGGTGTATAGTTTTACGTGTTAAAACCTTTCCATTTAGACAAAAATGGGGAGATGTCGGGGGACATTCAATGACACTGTGAACCCCGAGTTAGCATTTGCATTAAATAAAATTAACATGCAGGATCTGATTTAGAAACTAGGTGACAGAAGGTAGTCATAGAGCATCAGATGACATCTGGAAGTAGTAGGGAGGGATTCTGAGTGGTATTGCTTGTTGTTGTTGTTTGTTTAGGAGGAGTGGAAGGAGGGTTTGTTTTGGGGGTGGGGGAAGTCAACAAGGAGAGAAGGCTAGCTAGTTGCTACTCAACTTCTCTGAGCCAGCAGATTTCCAGCCCAGCCTTTGAATCTTGAGTCTTATCCCCCGGGAAACAGAAATCCCATCAGGCTGCAGCCTTGGCAGGTGGGCTGCTGCCAGAGAAGCAGGCAGGCAACTGTGGAATTGCAATTGCTGGCTGAAATAGCAGTAGAGTAGATCGAGGCACAGCCATTGTGCCAAAGATAAAACAACATTTTGCCAACCGGAACCATGGTCAAGCCTTTCACAGCAATACTGTATGTAGTCCCTGGTGCTAGCTTCTTGTTCCTATTGCTGTGAAGAGACACCATGACCATGGAAACTCTTGTAAAGGAAAACATTTAATTGGGCATGGCTTACAGGTCCAGGTTTAGTACATGAGCGTCATGGCGGGAAGCATGGTGCTGTGCCAGTGGAAATGGTGTTGGAGTAGCTGAGAGCTCTCCATCCAGATCTGCAGGCACAGGAAGAGAGAGACACTGGCCCAGGCTTGAGCTTCTGAGACACTTCCCAGTGACACACTTCCCCTAACAGGGCCACACTTCCACGCCACTCCCAGTGAGTCTGTGGGTAGGCGGTTTTCATCCAAACTACCACAGACAGACCTTCTCAGTGTCCTGGGAGAGCCCCATCCTTGCAGACCATGGCCCTTTAACTAGTCTGACCATAGAGGCAGCTCTTATGGACTTCATGGAAAGGGCCCAGGAACCTCATTCAAAACAGGTGAGGCTGTTGCCCACTGCCAGGCTCTCAACGTGTGCAGCTGGGAACCCTTGCTGTGGGGATGGTGGCACAGGCTTATAATGCCAGCACGGAGAAGGCGAGACAGGAGGATCACAAGTTCAAGGTCATCTTCAGCTACATGGTGAGTATGAGGTCAGCATAGATTACAATGAGACCAACTTAAAAACAAACAAAAACAAAAATGCACCCCTCAAGATGAGGCTGTGTGTTTATTTGTTTTGTATTCCAGGCCTGCAAAATTAGTCTGTGGCAGCCAGCGAATATAATGCTAGGCCTGTCCCTGAGAAGTCCTATTCCTCAGGGTGTTCTCCCCACAGCTCAGCATCTTTCTGCCTCTTGGTAGGAAAATAACTCATTCCGACAGGACTGAAGTGCACCCCTTTCACAGCAGCTGGAGAAACCCAGGGACTCTGTGACGTCTTCCCTCAGACTGAATTCCCTGTTCTGCATGTTGATAGTAAACTCATTTTCAACCGTGTTTTTGAGACCAAGCTCTCCTAAGCCTCTTTCCTCAGCAAACATTCAGGGCTGAGCCATTTTTCCAGCCCTACAATTGCTTGCTCTTTAGTCACAACTCTGAGCTGGGCACAGTGGCGCACGCCTTTAATGCCAGCACTTGGGGAGGCAGAGCCATGTGGATCTCTGAGTTCAAGGTCATCCTGGTCTACACCATGAGCTCTAAGCCAGCCAGGGATGCATAGTGAGACCTGGTTCAGAAACAAAACTAGGCTTGGTGGTTAAGAGCACTGACTGCTCTTGTAGTGGACCTGTGTTCAATTCCCAGAACTCACAAGGTGGCTCATAACCATGACCCTTGTTCCAGAGGATCTGGTACACTTTTCTGACCTCCATGGGGAACTGGCACACATATGGTACACAAACATACATATATGCAAAATATTCACACATAAAAAGAACACATACAATAAAAACAAATGAAATATGTACATAAAATCTTCAAAGTGACAAAAACACTGAATGATCTTTTTACTGTATTAATGTACTCAAGGCAAATTAGCACATAAATCCTAAAACAATAACAATAAAAATATATTATTTTATAATTCTGGCACCTGAAATAAAGACAAATAGAAAAACTATGTTAAAACATTAAAAAGTTGCAAATTCTCATTAAAGGTATTTACAATGTATTCTAGTATCAGATATGACACAATTCTTTTAAATTAGATTTAATAGAATATCTTTTATGAAAAATAATATAAATAAATATTAAATATCCACAACATATCGTACGTGAAGCTTGAGGAGTGTTCCACATTTGATATTATGAATGGCGGGGGTTCTTAGCTCCTTCCCTGAATCAAGCACAGTGGTGGGGAGCTTTGTGGCTGCCAATATCGCCAGTCACCTCTGCAAACTCATGATTCTGTAACAGGCAAACGTGGGGGCTAAAAATGAAGGATTCCTTTTTCTTCTGTTTAATCTTGAGCCAGAGCCTCACTCTGGAGCCCAGGCTCCCCTTGAATTTGCGGTGAGCTTCTGACTCTGGCCTCCCAAGTGCCAGGAGTACAGGTGTGAGCCACCATGCCAAGCTAAGGAGGAAGAATTTTTACAAATACCTTGAAGTTGCAATAAAAGGAAGCATTACAGGTGTCTGTTCTTAAGTTCCGAGGCTTCCTTCCCATTGTCACCGAACTTTGAGATGGACTAGAGTGTCACCCTCTGGTACCCGTGCTTGGCCTTCTTAGACATTTTGTGCTCTCTCCACACTAAAGGCCTCTGTCAGGACCCTCCTGTTACACTTGATATTGAGCCAAGAGTAGTAGGTGCTGTTTGCCAAAAGCAGGGGTGAGTTCATGGGGTTCGCTACCCAGCGTGCCCGCTGCTCAGTCACCTATATAGTTTTGTGGATTTTGTTTTACATGGTTGGAAATTTTAAAGAAGAAATACATCCTAATTTTATAACACTCATTTCCCCAATCCTAGACCTTTTAAAGGGGCACGAGGGAACCTTAGGAAGCAGGCACAGTGCAGGCCGGGCCTCAGGGCCACCCTTCAGCCCCTGGTGGCAACAGTGACAGGGGTTTCAGACGGACTCGTCCTTCCCATAGATGCTCTGACTGGAGCTCCTGGGAAGAAGGCGGGCTGAGGATGCTGACACCTGTCTCCTGAGGGCTGAGTCACTGTTCCGTGAAGCACTTGAGAATGACATACTAGGAATGATTTGGGACCATAGGACGTCACACGCCTGATTTGGAGGCTCTGGGCCAGCATGGTGTGTGGGACTTGTCTGTGTGGGTTAGGCAAACATGGGAGGTGCTCATTTGTGAAATACAGAAAACAGGCTTGCAGGTAGGCTACGGTCAGGTGAGAATATGGTAACCTGGGGGGACATCATCCAAAATCCACTTAGGACTCTGCGCAGAGGGAAGGCGTCAAGGCAGGGCCCCAGTGGGGTGGAGGGGTAGGTGTGCACAAGGAGCACGGGGCAGAGTGTGTTGGGGGGCCTGTTGTTAGGATGCCTGTCTTTCTCTTGCATTCCTTTATTGCTTGTTGCTGTCTATGGTGTGACGCCCTCCCAGACAGGCGCATGAGAGACAGCACATCAGGTTCAGCCTGGATGCTGCTGTCCTCCAGGGCCACCAAAGCTGAGCTCAGCCCTGTACAAAGTCTACCATGTGCAACAGACACCAGTGAGCTCAAAGTCTGGGGTGCATCTCAGTAGTAAGGAAAGTGGGTGCTGCCCTTGCGGCTTCCTGAGTGAGAGGTACTTCTTGCCTGAGCACAAAGGGCCCAGCACTGTGGGGCCTAGCTCAGGAAGGGGTCTTTGGTCATATCCATACACTCCATTCCTGTGAGAACAGACAGTCACACAGAGGCCAAGGGACAGCAGGTACGGAACCCTGCATCACTACGTCAACACACACGGCTTCGGATGGGGAAATGGGAAACTTGCACAGGCCCTGGCAGAGACAGAAGTGGTAACTGTCACCGTCTCGTGTACGTCCTGCTGGAGCTCTTACTCAGGCCCCCCTTTGGGGTGGGGATCTTGCTTCCAACCTTGGGTCCTGAGGTGCCTGACTTCGATGCTGCTGGGCCCTTCCCTGCAGTGGAGACAGATGCACAGGACACAGAACCACATGAAAAGAGGAACTCTTTCTTAGCCACAGGTGGCTGCAGACCCCACAGAGACAGAGAATGGCTGGGGGAGACCACTCTGGCAGAGAGACACCCACACGTCAGTGAGAGGAAGACAGGATGCACAGCACAGGAGGCCATCAGGTCAGTGACTCCACAGCCATGGACCTACGTCCACTTCTAAGAGGCTGGATAAAGAGGAGCCCTGGGCATTGCACCTGGTGCAGCCCGAGCAGTACATAGGCCACTGATTTCCGCTGAGCCACGAAAGGAGTGAAGGGTCTTTCTTGTACTAACCACTGAAACACAGAGCCACACCCTCAGGACAGGCCACTGCCTCACCACATGGTGTTACTGTATCCAAAAGTCTTTTGGCCTGAGGTATCCCTTAGCAACAGACAATTCCTGAGATGACACCTTGGATGGTGGGCTTGTGAATTATACAGAAGAGCCAAGGGGCAGCTGCTAGGAGGCCTGTGTGGGGAGCAGACAGAGCCTGCTGCACATGGAAAGGAAACTCCGGATGCTTTTCACCTGAGCTGCAGCAGAACACAGGAACCCCACAGGGGCTCACACCTCACCTTGCTGCGGGGCTGTGGCCTTGTAGAGAACGTGTGTCTTCCGCAGGTTCATTGTGCAGCCGGCAGGGCCCATCAGATGAGCCTTCCATGCCTGCAACGAAGGGGAGACACAGCACGCTAGCCTGGTGGCTCCAAAGGGACTTGGGGTGCTGCCAAAGCAGATAACTCACTGTTCATAAGGGGAACGAGATGCTAGCCAGCGGGAGGCTTGGCTCCCTGCCCTTCTTTGGCCTTAGCCCTCAAGTCTTACAGGCTGAGCCTGCATTTCTCATTCTACCCTGGATGACTGGAACCTGAGTCTTGTAGTCATGAGGACTTATTTCTGCCAGCTGCTGGGAGGCACAAGGCAGTGGGCCCTTCCCCTGATGAGCTGCAGGTGAACACACAGGTCAGCTAGCAACTGCACGGAAGCCTGGGAGGTAATGAACTTCACGTGAAGCCAGTGGAGCTGCCCAGGCCGTGAATCAGGGGAAGCATGAGCTGGTAAAAGGGTGTTGTCACACAGGGCTAAGTATGGAGTGTGCTATACAGCACAGACAGCCAGAACAGGGGAAGCGAGTAAACAGCAAACAGCTGCTGACACAGAGGGTCTTAGTGCATGGCAGATGGTGAGCATGGAGGGGAGAAAAGAGGAAGCTGCTGGCTCTCAGTACTGTTCAAGGCGGAGGCCACCAGAGTGAGGGAGAGAGAGGACTGGGCAGCTGGGAGTGCGTCAGGAAAGGCACCCAGGCTGGAGGAGCTATGCCCTCCAGTGAAAGGGGCTGGCCACTGGCTACTGTGTTATCGGCTGTCCTAGGGCAGACACCGACTCTGTGTCCTCAGGGCCTTTGAGGTCAGGGAGGCTACAGAACTGTGGGGTGGGCATGCGGGGTTCCAGAAGGACAAGGTGAGGGAGGTGCACTGGCTGAGGATGGAAGGCAGCAGTGTGCGCTGACAGACAGGGTTGTGACATCTAAGTGTCCCAGCTCTGTCCACTGAGGCTTGGCTGTGCTGAGTCTCCCTATGCTTAGCACCGAGGCCAGCTGCGAGGGCCGCACACCTCAGTGGGACAGCTGATTCCTGGTCTGGGCAGAACCTTCCAGATAGGAAGATACTACTTATGGCCACGAGTCAGCTCCAAAGCCTCAGGAGACCAGGCGAAGGGACCCTCGTTGCCCACAGGTGATCACCCATAGGGCAAGGACGGCCATGGCTCTGAGTAGGAGTTTAGCAAGACACTAAAAGCAGACAGGCTGCCACCTAGAGACTAGTGAGCTGGCCTGTCATCCCAAAAGCTGCCAAGTGCTGTGTAAGTTTTCTTCGAGACTGAAACATTTTATGCTGTGGGGAAATTCCTTAAGCAGGGAGGAAGCACAGGATAGCTTCAGGAAGTCCCTGAAACTAACCAGTTTCACTGGGCCCCGCCCTGACAGAGTATGCAAGCCAAGCTGCAAAGAAGACGCAGAGACCAGCTGAGCTGCTTGGGAGAGGGTTAGACCAGAGTCACTTGGAAAGGACACTCTCCAACCCTGCCTGCAGGCTGTGCAGCGTGCTCAGGTTCCCGGCTCTGTGAGCCATCCCGCATGCTGGGGTGAGCGTTGGAAATGCGCAGTCTTCTCCTATAACCAAGCCCCACTTACGCTACTCTTAAGTTACCCCAGTACAACTCAGGGTTCACCAAGTAGGAGTTGGTGGTATCTGTCTGTAGTGGGCTCCTTCGCCGGTACGGATAGATGTGTGCTGTGTCTCCCCAGGCAAAGTCTTGTCACACAACACAGGTGATGAAGAGAGATGACAGGAAAGAATACTGGACTCTATGGCATCCCAGGGGACAGAGCAGAACTTCCTGGCACGGAGGGCACCCACACTGTACTGTGCAGACAGCCAGAAACGGGGTAGATTCATGGATGCCGCAGGCTCTGCACACACACCCAAACACCAGAGGCAAAGGACATGCCAAAAAGCTGCCAGTGTCACCGCGCTACTGACTCAGGACAGGAGGAGAGCATGGCACTGAGTAGGAATAGAACTATCAACCACCACGGGGCACATTCTGTTACTCCAGATGGCTAGGGGCTACAGACCTGACCGTGATGCCAGGGAGGCCTGGACCCACACATGAAAGACACGACCAGGAAGTCTGAACCCATGGGTGCTGAGCCTCGCCGTCAGGGTATCCGGAGGGCACTGACCCAAAACCTTCGTCCTGAGAGCGCGTTCGTCTCAGTTCAGGCTCCCTTACCTCTTCTCCAGGGGCAAAGTTCTCATGACACAGGGGACATCGGTTTGCCACCTTCTCCGATTTGGCAGCTGAAATGATTTCAATAAAGACGACTTGGTTACTTGGATGAACCCTCAGGGAGAGGAAGGGCACATCCAATCCCTCAGCACCCTCGCCTGGCCCCCAGCAGCCTGGCCCCCAGCAGCCTGGCCCCCAGCAGCCTGGCCCCCAGCAGCCTGGCCCCCAGCAGCCTGGCCCCAGCAGCTGCGTGCACGCCCAGGGAGGGAGCACACTCACGGTTGCACTCCTTGGCTTTGATGTGCCTGGGAAGCTCCTCCTTGGGAACAGCCTCGCTGCAGCGGTGGCACTTCCCAAACCCATCCCGTTTGTCACACTCTGTCAGCAGATGCTCTGTCAGGCTGGATATCTCAACCACCTGTGCCCGAGAGACAGAGCGGCGCTTCTGTGGGCCAGGGCAGCTGTTCTGGGTCCTACAGTGTCTGCAGCCACACACTTTGTGGAGACCCTGTGTCTTTCTCCTGTCACCGCAGTGCCGTTCAGGCCACGGTAGGGGTGGGGCTACAGCTGATCTGAGTGTGCATGTGGCTCGGGGATCAAATTCTGGCTCCCCAGTATTTCTAAGAATGTACACAAAGAGTGCTTTCCCACCCACCTAATACTTGGTCAGGATACCTTCCACATACGCGCCCATGGGACCACGCACTGCTGAAGAGGCAGAGGGCAGGTGCACATGGGGCTTTCAGAATCTGTGCTGTCAGGTAGGGGAATGCGTGTGCAAAGGGCAGGACCTACCCTTACCCTCTTTCCCCGTGCAGCGCACAGAACAGAACACCCCCATCTTGTCATCCCCAGCTGCAGAGGGAGGTGCAGAGCGGCACAAGATGACCCGGCAGGAAACCCAGGCAGGATTGGTAGGGGGACAGCCCCAAATTGAAAACTTCTGTTGTGGGACATTTGTACACTGTGTGGAGAGGTGTTGCCGTGGTTGGTGTAATAAGAAGCTGAATGAGTGGCCAATAGCTAAGGAGGAGGTGTAGGCGGGACTTCCGTAGGGAGGGAAGAGGAGATAATTGAGGTGTGCAGGGCACACCACTGAGTGGTAGAACAGTCAGACACACAGAATTGGGGAGAGGCTGTGCTTCTGTTTCCACAGGAAATGAAAAGCTATGGGTTCCTTAAAAAAGATCAGATTTGATTAGGAGAGACCTCCCGACGACCTTGGCTGCAGATGTGAGGGAGGAATCCAGGAAAGACTACAGGACAGGAGACATGTACACTGATCCTGCGTATGGGAACAGCTCTGAGACTGGATGAGGCATGATCAATCTTGTTGGCTACAGAGTCCTCATGACTTATTGTTACACGCCACCCTTTCACATGGTGTGGATAGACTGATACTACATTTGGTTACACAGTCCAAACAGACTTAAAAAGTTGACAGATGACTTTTACCTGCTCAAACATACAACATTACCATTAGTTGACTTGTGCACACTGTACTCCATACTTAGGTTGACCTCTCTCTCTCTCCCTCTCTCTCTCTCTCTCTCTCTCTCTCTCTCTCTCTCAGGTGATCCAACCTCTCAGGATGTCTCTGTTGCAGTTTTCTTAAAATTTTGCATCCAGAACAACTTCAAAGCTGCTGGCTGAGCTGGTCCAGCCTCACAGACTACTCTAGCCAGACTTCAGATAAACTCTACACTTCCCCATCACAAAGACCAAACTATCTATCTATCTATCTATCTATCTATCTATCTATCTATCTATCTATAAAATCACAGCTAGCTCTCCCAAGACTTGGCCATTGTTTCAGCTTTCGCAGGATCCCCTAAAGATACTGTCCTCCCAGACAACAGGAAATAGTCTAGAAAACACTATGCCCACATTCCCAAGAGGTGGAGTGGATGCTTTTTGGTTTTTCAATAGATTATGGATCTTTGTCATTGTTTAGGGGAATTGGTTACAACCTGCTATTGGTTGTGTTCAGGAAAAATGTTGAGCAAAGGAGATTATGTTCAGAGATCTCATTCTGAAAAGAAAAAGGGGGATATAGAAATGATAGGATAAAAGGGTAGGTTACTGACTCTCCTTTTAAACTAAAAGAGCAACTACTAGTCTCAACTATTTTACATTGGTAAGGACTTTTGTATACTGATACAAATCAGTTTTTTCTTTTTTCTTTTTTACTGTATATCTGTATATCTTAAACTCTTGTTTAAGGTAAGGTATTGTACCTATGTAGCTCATTTTAAAATGTAATGTAAAGTTCTAGTCCTTAAAGGGTATTATTACAAACTGTTAAACTGTTTAAGATAATTAAGAAATGTAGGTTAGTAGTTAGTCATCTACCACAATGGAATTTGTGGTCATGTTAGGTATTTTTCAAGGTCAAACAGAGATATATTTTAAGTAGATGGTTTTCAAACACTTCAAAAACTGTAGTGGTCGCCTGCGTGCCCATGGCTCGTGCCCAGCACCCGACCTGCCTGCGCGCCCATGGTCCATGCCCAGCACCTGACCTGCCTGCAGTGGTCACATCTCGCCAGCATGAGGCAGTATTTCCAGTAGTGGAGGTCCAGGCCCTCTTCTGTGAAGGACTCGTTCCTTTCCCCACAAAAGATGCACAGACTACAATGAAACACAAAAGCTGCACGTGAAGACCACTCAACCCCCACTGCATTAGACTCAGGACTCCTTAGACCCCTAGACCCTCTGTCCTAAATGCCTGGTGCTCTGAGGGCAGGCTGTACCTCCTGGGAAAGTCAGCAGGGCTCAGGGTTCTCGCATAACGCCTGGAGAAAGGGCCTCGCCAAGCAGATGGCACAGTCAGACAAGAGGCGGAGGACAGCCCACAGGCCCTTGCAGATTGGACCCACCCCTGGACAAGATGTTCAGGGCAACTGTTGTGGGGCAAAGATGGGGGCTGGGGCTGTGGCCGGCCCAAACCAGTGTGAACTGGCTTAGGGCAGTTTCCAGCCTTAGGAATCAGGAAGAGGAGTCCAGAGACTGAGAGTCACAGAAGCCAGGAGGAGATGAACGCCCTCCATGTCCCCCCCCCCCCCCCCCCGCACCCTCATGCAACACACACACACACACACAGTGTCACTCACTTATCCAAATAGTGGTTATCCGGGCTTTCTGGAGAGTCAGGCAGGGCAGCTCTCCTTTCTTGAGGGTCTGAAGAGAGTAAAAAAGCACAATTTATGATGGGCCCAGTGGTAAGGTGCCCTGCACCCGGTTGTGTCCAGTGAGGGCTGCAGAACAAGAGAAACAGTTTTCTTTCCTTCTCTTCAGTGCTGGGAGCCAAACCCGGGCCTCGCACATCCCAGGCAAGCACTGCGACCATGAGCTGCAGTTGCAGCCCCGGTTTGTGGCTCAGGACTTGCTACGTGCTCGGAGTGGCCTCAAGCTTGCTGCAGTGCTTTGAGGGGGACCCCCACCCAACTCCAGGCTCATGTTGGAACACTTGGTCCCAGTGGGTGGAGCTGTCCGGGAAGGATCTGGAGGTGTGGCCTTGTTGGAGGAAGAGCGTCACGGGGCAAAAGCCCATGCCGCTCCCAGCATGCATCTCTCTCTCTGCCCTGTGCGTGTGGACCAGATAGGAGCTTTCAGTGACCGCTTCAGCACCACGACAGTCGTGGGCTCAGCCTCTGAAAGGGAAAGCCCCAAACAAACATTTTCTCCTGTAAGGTGCACTGGTTATGACATCACACAACAGAAAAGTAACTAAGACACTCGCCATCCACCTGCCTCATCTGCCACTCACGAGGCTCATACGTGTGACACCAGGTCTGATAAAGGAAGTGGTTTCCTTTTGTTTTGACATAGTCCCACTATGCAGCCCTGGCAGGCTTGAAACTTGTTATGTCGCCCTGGCTGACCTCAGATTCACAGGAGATGCACCAGTCCCTAAGTGCTGGGGTTAAAGGTGTGTGTCACCACACTCGGCAAAGGAAGGAATTTCAGGTCGAGCTGCCTTGACTGCAATTTGCTCACCTTGATTCTTGAGCTTCACAGCATCATCCTCCTTCTCCTAAGAGACAAAGAGAAATGGTCGGGAGCGAACTGTGGCTATCAGCGGCAGTCTGCCCAGCATGCACTATCCTCAAAGTGCATACCAAAGAATAAGAGAATTCATGTTTTTTCTTATTTATTTATTCATTCATTCGTTCGTTTGTTCGTTCGTTCGTTCATTCATTCATGACTGACTGTCTGTCTACTTCTGTGACAGTCTATTCTATGAAGCCCAACATTGCAATCCTCCTGCCTGAGCTTCTTCAGTGCTGTAATTACAGGCACTCAACTCCACACAACTGTGACAAGGTCCTCAGCAATCTTTTCATGTCAGCCAACCCTGGCGGTGAACACCCGTGATGTCAGCATTTGTTAAGCAGAAACAAGAGGGTCACAAATTTGAGGCCAGCCTGGGCTAGTGAATGAATGAGTTCTAGGGCAGCCTGAGCTACACTGTGAGACTCCAGGTTAAAAACAACAACACAACTCCAGCATTTCCTCCTGTTCTCTTTAAGCCCCTTAGTTCCACCGTTGCACAGACACACACACACACAGCAAGGCTACCGATCTCCTCCCCAGGTGACTGCCATTCCTATTTGCCAAGTGACCACCAGCCCCACCAACACAGGCCATGTGCTTAGCTACTTGTGACCTGGAGAGAGCCTCCAGCTCACACGCTGGTAAGCTAGTAGGAAAAATACTCAGCGTGGGCTGCACTTCGCTGGCAGCTACCGTCATGCTACAAGGGTAGAGGAGGCATCTCAGTCTGCCAGGGGGAAGGCCGTGGCCCGCTCCAGCCTCCCGGTTTCCCCCTTCCTTACTTTATTCTCACACTGGCCTTTGGTGGGAAGGTCTGGGGACTTCAGCCCTTCTTGGGCAAATACCCTGTAGCTGTGTTCTCCCTTTCTCTCCTTGCTCTGTCCCGTTTGTATGCAGAGCAGCATCCTTGGAGCCTGTGCAGTAGCTGGGGCCACAGGAGGTAGGCTCCAAGTGTGCCTTGCAAGACTGAACTTTGCATCTGGGGACCTCCTTAACACCTCTGCCCTCTTACACTTTAAACATTGTTTGAATTTGTGGGCGTGTGTGTGTGTGTGGGGGGGCGGGGTGGCTGCACGGGCAAGACCACAATGCAAGCCCAGAGGTCAGAGGACCACCTTATGAAGTCAGTTCCTCTCACCCTGTGAGTGCCACGGTCTGAACCCCCGACCCATCTTGGGGGTGGGCGGGCAGGTCCCCTAAGTCTCCCAGCAGCAATGGAGCTGGCTGCTAACCCACACGACAGACACCAGGCCTTCTTTTACTTGTGCCCCCAACTAACCAGAACTCTGGGAAGTAAGGGCGCCACGTGCATCGACCGCCCAGCACCCCACGCACGCAGGCGAGAGGTTCGCTGGCATTCTGACCTGGGCTTCAGCCTGGCTCTCTCTCAGTGCTGCCAACTGGCCCTGAAGAGCCTTCATCTCTTCTTTCTTCTGTTTTTCTGCTTCTTTGGTGGCTGCTCTTTTCTGGGCCTGGTCAAAATTTTTTTCTTGCATTAGAAGAACTTTCTGGGGGTAGCTTCAGACATTGGGAGACAAATTACAGCATCTAAATCGGGATATGCCTGTAACTTGCACTAAAAGTAAATTCTTCAGTGGTTCACTAGAGGTTTGTGCATTGCCAACCCTGCTCTTCCCAGACAGGGAAACAATGCTCTCACATCTCCCGGCTCACGGGCAGGGCACCGCCAGGTGGGGCCCACGCTTCTCCACATGGGGCTCCTTAAGAGAGAAATTGGCTGTTTATTCATGTCTCAAGTAGCACTGTTATTCCTGTCTTTCTCTCTTCCTAGTCCAGCCTGTCTGGTACTCACAGCAACCCTCTTAGCTCAGCCTCCCAATGCAGAGGTTACAGGTATGAGTCGGCATGGCTGGTCTGTGTTCCACGCTACTCTTAAACACAGACCGCAGTGCCATCCATTCATGAAGGGCAACTCACCCTGACTTCGGCCTCCGTGGGCCTGCCGTCTATCTTAGCAAACCCCTCAAAAATGGCTTTGTAGAGAAGGCTCCTGCGTGTGTTGCTGTCTTCTGGAGGAAGGTGCTCGAGGGTGAGGGCTGGGTGCTGCCGGTACATGTCCAGGATGATTCTGACTGCGGTCTCTCGCACCTCATACACCTTGTGTTCCAGGGCGCTCAGTGCGAACTGCAGAGAGAAAGCATCTTGGCTCTGCTGCTGATGGTCTAACAGCAGAGTTAACTCCGCACAGAAGTGACCCGGATGTGCTCAAAGATGTGCAAAACAAAGACAAGGCAAAGAGGAGAAGGCGCAGAGGCAGCCACACACCCGCAGTGCTTGTCAGCCCAGCACTGTGCTCTGCTTTTCCCACTGGTGTGCTACGAAGCACTCCTGAATTACATCCACCCACACACTTCCCATTAGGAAATACTCCAAACATAAAGGGACTAACACCAACCTCAGGGACGCAGCATCCGGGTCAAGCAGGGTAACCCTGTGGGTTTTTCTGCCTGACTCTGCCATGCCCCTGTCTGTCTTCCCAGGCTGTTTTCTGTCTCTGCCTGGAGGCTCCCACCTGCAGCTGGTAAGCGCTGCTGCCCGGAGGCTGTCACTTGCATAGTGCGTGTGTGCGAGCAGGGTGCTGGCGATGCAGCGAGTATTCAGAGCTCCCGTTTAACATACCCACACGTTCTGTCCCTAGCACTGCAATTGTACATACCCCCACCTCCCACAAAAACCAGTGAGATGGCTCAGCCAGTAAAGGAACTCCCCACGCCTGAGGCCTGGCCTTGGTACCCACGGTGGCAGGAGAGCACTGAATCTTCCATGCTGCCCTCTGACCTCCGCATGCACGCTGGGGCTTCTGCTCCACCGGTGCTCGGACCACGCTTTCCTGAGCCCACGCACCTCATGTCAGCGGCTCCCCAGTGGCTCTGGGCACTGGGCCTCCCTCCTCCCACTCTTCTGAAGGGTCGGCCCGAGCCCCACTCCTAGGTTCTACCCTACAAGTACTTGTTCGCCATCACCAACCATCTGGCTCTCACACTGGGTCCTCACCTCCTTCCAGTCTGTGTTCCGTCTACTCTTACATCAGGGACTTTGGCCCACCTTTCCCTTGAGCCTCCCCACCCCTGCATTCAGTGTGCATGGCACGGCACCCCAGTGGTCCTGCTCATCCATCCCTGCAATCACCCAAACCCTCTTTTCTTTTCCTTTGCATCTTGAGGTGGTGCTGAATGTGATGGCAGCCATCAATGTCCCACTGGTTTATTCTGTTTCACTGCAGACTTGGGCCACACATACCTGTCCTGTGCCATGGACAGCGGAGCTCAGTCATGAACACGAGTCAGGCAGCGATCCAGGCAGGAGACCAAGGTGGGCATGGTTTATATTCTGACGTATTCTTAAGCCAATCATTTTTTTGTTTTTCAGGTTTTTTGAGACAGCATCTTATGCAGCCCAGGTGGGCCTCAATCTCATTCTGAGCCAATGATACTCCTGACCTGGTGCCTCTCCTGCCTCTACCTCCTAGGTGCTGCGTTACAGGAATGTAAAGCCTGGTGTATGCAGCGTTGTAGACTTCTGTGCTTGACAGGTGAGCACTCCCTCAACGCCCTGAGAATGACTCCAGGACCTCTCCCACTGTGGATAGGGACCTGTGCATCCTATGCTCTCACTAATGAGTGCAGAGACAGCATGTTCACTGGTCAGTCACTGATTAGACAACCCTGCCCTCAGCTGTGGTACTGGGGTCACCAGTACACACCCGCACACGCGAGGCTGGCTTACCTTCATCACACTGTCCACGGTGAAGCCTGAGTTCTCAGTGCCTAGGTCTCTCAGCAGTCGGGCCAGAAGGTCCGCCTGACTCATTGCCAGGTGAATGGAAGCATTGGCCTTCAGCGGCTGCACCAGGTAGGATGGAATGAGTTGGAGAGACTTCACATCCTTAAACAAGGCCATTTCCTACAAACGTAGCACAATTTGTTAGTTATTACAGGTAAGGAGCAGGAGGCGATGCAATGCAGCTTAGCATGACTGTCACACTAAACAGCAAAGGGGACGGGGGGGGGGGGTGAAGGGACAGTGACAAGCCACAAGACAGTTATGAATAGGAGCTGGGGATCTCTGGGGTAGAGGAGGCAGAGCCCCAGCCCTGAAGCAGAACAGACCGACATGAGTTGGAAGGCTTCTGACCTAGGTATTTCTCAGCGCCAGTAACACCTTTTTCTGAATGTATAATCTGGGAAGAGGTCAGGCTCAGAGAGAATTTTAGCATCGGGTGTCAGTGATTCTCTGGGAATATGGTCACTGCTGACCCGAGTGAAAGTCCCACCTATGGTGTCCATTGCTGGGCGACAGGGGCTCACTAAGCGGCTTAGGCCTCCAGAGGTTATGACAGCAGGACCCTGAAACAAGTGGGGGCTGAAGGTGGAGGCCAGGAGCAGTTAACCCGGCGACTTTGAAAGTTTATTTTCATGTCTGCGTGAGTGTGTGTGAGTGCGCTTGTGCTATGTGTGTATGGATATGCCATGTGATTGCAGGTGTTTCTGGGGGCCACAGGAGGGTGTGAGAAGCCACACATAGGTTCTAGGAACTCAACTGCAGCCCTCAGGAAGAGCGGCAAGCACTCTTCACCAAGCCGTTTCTCCAGACCTGTGTGGTAACATCTGGCCCAGGGTCACCTCAGACAGTGACGGAGCTTTAGACTGACAGGGAAAGCCAGAGTGGCACACTTGTGGAGCCCTACTGCAAGGGAAGTGTGGGCGGAGGGCGGGGGCAGCACGGCTACATGGTAAAACTCTTAGAAAAGCATCAAACACGGGCTGAGTGTGGTGACACACTCCTGCAGTGGCTGAGGGGGAGGGCCACCTGTGCCCAGGAGGGTGGTCTGGGTGACACGGACAGACATTGTCTCTTAAGGAAAGCAAAACCCAGCTCCATATGTAGCAAAGAAATGAAGCAATACCCATTTTCATTCTCGCTGAGACTCACTGAAATCCTCCTGCCTCTGTCTCTCGAGGGCTGACACACTTTTTTACAGGTGATGACACCCCGCCCAAGCTCTGTGCTACAAGCACCCGATAACACTTCTGTTCTTACCCCCCCCCCCATATGTTTCCCCTGAAAACTTAGTTTCTTAATAAAACCAGCTCTGAGATTGTCCACACTTCAAAGAAAGATAAAAGCTCTAAGACAGATGTCTACACTCACAAAACTTGCATCAATCTTTCTAGTTCTAGGTCACTCTTGGCTACACAGCAAGTTCCAGGTGAGCCAGGGTGCATAAGAAGAAAACAAGCTTCCTGACCTATGTGTGTCCATCAGCTGACTTAGGCGGTTTCACTCATCTGTGCAGGTGTGTGGGTATGAGCGCACCAGAGGACAGTGCAGTCACAAGACAATTTACCGGAGTTCCTTCCTTCAACCGCGTGGGCGCAACTCAGGGACTGAACTCAGGTCGCCAGGCTTGGTGGCAGGCGTGCCTTTTACCCACTGAGCCACCACATGTGAGTGGCGGGTGTGTAGCTGCACGTGGACGCCTGAGTTGACTTCAGGAATCTCCCTCTACAGCTAGTCCACCTTATTTGAGGCAGGGTCTCTTAATCAAACCCAGAGATTGCAACATGCTAGGCAGCTTGCTCCACGGACCTATCTCTACCATCCAAAGCTGGGATAACAGGCAAGCACTATGCCTACCTCGTGTTTATGTGGGTTGAAAGGATCTTAACTGTGAGTCAGCAACCTTTTTAACTGCTGAGCCGTCTCCCAAGCTTTATAAATTCATCATTTTTATCTCCAATAAGCTGGGTGTGGAATCATGCCTGTAACATGAGCACTTAGGGAGCCAGCCAGGACTACACGGTGAGCTAAGTCCAGCCAGCATTACAAAATGGACTGTCTCAAAACAGCAACAAAAGCCTGTGTGTAGACAGAGCTCTCGCTCCAGCACCAGGGGAGCATGGCGGCAGGCGTCTGAGGCTCTGGAGTACAGAACCCTGCAAGGCAGAGCCCGACAGCCACAGCGAGGGGATGGGGAAGTTCAGACCTGAATGAAATTCAAAGCTAAGATGCGGAGGCGAGCAGAGGAGTCTCCGGTTCTGGCGAGTAAAAGGGGGACTGTTCTGTCCACACAGTGTGTTGTTTCCAGCTTGCTCAGCTTGTGCTTGGGAATGAACTGCGTAATTATCATTTTCAGCAGTTTCAATGACGCCTGAAAGACCTGAAGAAAATGAGGTCAGAATGCTCAGTTGCAGTGGCTGGACCTCAGGAGGAAGCAGGAAATCAACAAACGTGAATGTTATACTATAACCCGCTTCCGAGTACGGCAGCCCACACCCCAGGCCCGGAGCCCCGCTCTCTCTGCGGGCCTCGACGCTCAACCCTCCTGACCACGTGATGCCAGCTCACCACTCGTGGCAGACACCCAGCCCTCAGCTTTTCTTTTTTGGAATGCAATTTGCCAGCTCCTTAAGTCTCAGGAAAAACAAGGAGAGTGAGCACTGGTCTGCACGTCTGCTGAGGTCTGACGGGAAGAAGCCGTGTAGAGCGGAGGAAGTGCATCTCCCACCTGCCACTTTCCCTTGAGCCCAGGATGTGCCTCTTGTTGGAGAACCTCATTCCTGGCCTCACTGACAGCTAAGTCATGGTTATGTCAATGACCTGGGGGCAGCAGGTGGAGAGACTTACCGAGATCACAATGTCCTTTGTGGCTCTTCTGATGAGAAAGATGGATGCTCTGAGCATGTTTTTCAAGTCCTCCTTCTGGGTTCCGACAGGCATCTCCATCAGCTTCTTGTACAATGCCAGCAGTGCGTCTTCTCGGCAGGACCATGTCTTGGAATAGGCCCCAGCCACCTGCCGGGAAACAACAGTCCTGCTCTGCCTCCTGAGGCCACACACTTACATCAGACTGCCATCCCGCACTTAGAACTCTTTTATAGTAGGAAGCCCTCTGCAGAACGAGAGGTAGAGCTGTGTTAATGGGAAATTAAGATCCAAGACTTCCACATGTGAGTGGCAGGATGCACATGTGTACATGTGCACGTGTGCGCGCACACGCACGCACACACACACACACACACAGAGGCACACTCGCAGGATGTACATGTGTACATGCGCGCACACACATACACTCGCATGCACAGTAAAGCAGAAACAAAATCTGTAGCTGTTTTCCTTATGTTGGTGTGCTTTATGTATGTGTGTACAAGCACACGTGTGTGCCATGCATGTGTATAACCTGGTTTTCCTTTTTACCAAGGCTTCGCCCAAGGTGTCGATGGCAGAACTGGCTTCTCTCAAGGCCTTCTCTGTCAAGGGCTCTGGCTCCCCTGAGACGCCCTGTCTGCGGACATCACTGCTGTCTGCCTCTCTCATTGCTGGCTCTGCAGAAGCTTCCCCCAGCTGCTTTCGAGTAATAGGAAGAGGCCGTTCATCATAGGGCAGGGCGTCTACCTGTAGGCGAGCAGCAGGGAGCAGAGTGTGTTGAGGGTGGGCGCTCTGACCAGGATGCCTGCCCCACAGTACAGCCCGTCCAAACTCACTACCAGCGCACAGCGCAGTACACACGTTTCTTATCTGGGGGCTCCCACCCGACGCAGCTTCCTCTGAGGTGCTCCTTGGTGAGGCAGCTGGCAGCCCAGTCTTCTGCCCTCCAGCAGCACCTAACTCACCAGGCTCTGTTCCTGGTGCCCACACAGCAGTGAGGGTGGCCTTGTGCCCTCACTGTCTCATCCAGTCAGACACAAAGGCACAGAACTAAGGAGGCAAGTACACAGCAGAGAGAGAGAGAGAGCGGGGAGGGAGCACTCAGCGAGAGGGAGCACTCCTGCCTGGGCACTGAAGCTCATGGAACTGAGACAGTAGGTGCGTGCACGTGCGTGAGAATAAATTTCTCAAAGTCTGAAATCACTTGTGTGAAACCCCGAGACAACACGGAAGACTCGGCCACAGGGGCATCGCTACCCTAAGATAGACATGCGGGCAAAGGCCCCTTCTGGAAAGGCATGGTGGGGCCAGTCAGCACAGGGATCTCCTCTGTTCCAGCTGCTTCAGAGGCTGGAGTGAGCGACTGGAGCGGACCTAGCTGCACTGAAGTGAGCGCCTGTTGGGAAAATACGCTGCGGTGATGGTAGGCAGCCTAGGGGACACGGAGCTGGGGAGTCGAGTGGTAGGAAAAAATTAGGTCTCTGGTGACAGTACTGAGCTCTCGGGTCAAACCAATGCCGAAACCTATTGTGCTCCTAGCTAGAGCAGTCAATAAAAACCCAGCTTGACGCAGGTTCGCTGTTACGATGCTGTTCTAACAGGCAAGGTGACCTCAGATACACGACTAAGGTGCTATTGGAAAATAATTTACCCATTTATTTTGACACAGGACTCTGATGCCTTGGACATCCTGTTACTGAACTGGCAGCAATCCTGCCCAGCTTCTTGAGAGCTCCAGGTATGGGTGTTTTACACATGCTCTCTCATTCCTTGAAGCAATGCTTGAGGTGGATACATATTTTTCCTTACAGAAGAATCATGGGCTACAGATGTCAGGGCAGATCCAGAGGGCCGGCAGGATGGGTTACAGATGTGACTCTCAAGAGATGCGGCCTATGGACTGTGCTTGCTCATGCTCATCCCCAGGTCCCTTGTGGATTCGGGAGGGGGCTGGCCCTGGGGGCAGGCATGCACCTGTGCTTTGGGGTTAGTACCCAGTACAACCCGGGCCCTCAGTGACACTGCTAGTAACGGTCACGCTGGAGTGGAGTAACTTACATGGCTCCTTGGTGCAGGGCCTGCGGCAGGCGGGGACTGGTCCACTGCTGAGTGCCGAGGAGAAGATGCCAAGGTAGATGCCAAGGGCTTTTCCTGGAGGGCGGGGCCTGCAAGCGTGTCTTCTGTTAGCAGCTCTTCTGTGCGTGGGAGTGAGGACACTGCCTTCCAGTGCTGGGGGCTGCTGGGAGATGCAAGGGGCTGGAGCGGCAAAGCGAAGGGCCTCTGCATCTGGGGGAGAGACGAAGGACAAGGGCCGTGACACATGGCGTGGAGTATGTGCTATAGCCCACACATTCACAAAGTCCGAGCACAACTCTGATTGGCCCTCCACTTTCTCCCATGAGCCCCTACCCTGTGGCCCATTCTGACCTCTGGCTCGCCCTGCAGGAGGCCATGCAGCTCCAGCTGTTCGTACACCTGGGCACGGTAGCGTGCCATTTGCAGTTTCTTCTCCTTGGCCAGGTCATAGTCTTCTTTCTCTACTGCACAGCGCTTCTCCACCTCATAGCGACCCAGGCGCTCACCGACCTGTGGCACACAGATGGGCATCTGCTCACAGGACAGCTGTGGGTGGGAGGGGTCTGTCCTGCACGCTGCCTCAACACAGGGTACTCAGGAGCTCCACACAGGCCAAGACTGCCCCCCCTCCCCGAGGAGCGCTAAGCCTCCGGTTCCAGCTCCAGTCTCACCTCCAGGTGCTTGTCCAACCCGATACTACATGCCCGGGATGCTGACTCCTTGCCTGTCCCTCCGCGTCAGGAACACGCTTCGGGGAGGGGGGGAGGGGCAGGGGCGCCCACAGCACACCGAGGAGGCCCACGTGTTCTCAGAGCCTGTACCTTCTGTAAGTCAGCGATCGCTTGCTTCAGTTTCTTTGCGTGGTCGTAGCGCTCCTTCTTGACAGCGTCCCGTTTCTTTTCATCCAGCCTGCGGATGATCTGTGCGACTTCAGGGTCTTGGTACATGTCAAATGCCAAGTCATCAAGCGGAGAAATATAGTCAGATCTCCTGAGGAGAGAAAGCGGCCCTTCAGGGCAGGAGAGTGCAGAGCTCATGCTGAACACACAGGCAACAAGGTCCCAGCATTGTTCATGGGGCTCCCATAGACTCGGACAGGCTGGTCAGGCCGCAGCCACGAGCCGTGTGTCAGGCCAAGCCTCAGGTAAACTCGGCTTCCACGGCCATGTGATTATTGCCACTATTAAAATTTACAGCATGGCAGTGATGAGCTTCCTTCTGGAGCTACGAAGGGCAGCAACAGCATGTGCCAGACCACACCACACAGACTTGCCAACCAGTTCTGGGGCCTCACATCGGACACACTGACTGCAGGGCCTGAGCCAAACCCAAGCTGTGACCCAGGCATTTTACATAAAGGTAAAAGCTTAATTAAATACTATTTGTCACAAAGAATTTAGCTGGAAAACTTGAATAAGAAGAAGCTCAAAATCCCTGGTTCCTTTCTGCCACCCCCATGTCCCCTTCGATCAGGCCCTTTGGCCTCCAGCCCAGTTTCTGATGGACAGCTGCGACAGCTATGAACATCCCTGCCATCAGCAATGTAAGAGTAATGTGTTAGCATGTGCACGCTGCCCCCACATACCACATATTAGCTCTCAACACTGTGCCTGCAACGCTAGACCACTTTGCCATGACGTCCCAGAAATAATACAAAGGTTTTATTTTTAAAAACCTCACCAAAGAGAAAAAAAGGAAAGAAAAAATGTCCCATGGTGCCATGGTCAGAATTTCTAGGGCAGGAGCGCCCACTCTCATGTAGCACCCCAGGGCCAAGTCAGGGTCTCACCCAAACCCCAGCAGGGACACTCACACATCACAGAACCCTAGGCCAGGCACGGCCTGCCCCACACTGAAGCTGCTGTGGCTGCTTTGTAGGTTCAGGCTTTCAGGCTTTGGTGTGGCCATCAGGAAGGAGGCGACTGTGGTGATACAGCTGGTTCTCCAGCAGGCTCAGGACTCTGAGAGCTGAGACACAGTGACAACCGCACCAGTGTTCTCAGGGACACTGCTAACACCGGAACACACACACAACTGAGTGAACACACACACCCACACACAACTGAAGCTTCTCTGAATGCAGCATTGTAGGTGTGCAGGCTGTGCAGACACCAGAAAACCGACCAGTGGCTTATCTGCTCACCAGACCTAACGCTCCCCGCACCGCAAATCCTTTGGAATGACTGAGGAGTCATGAAGTACCCTGTGGATGAAATGGGAGGGGTCTTACCCAGCAAAAGTTCCTTCTAGGGCTGGGTCCTCGTTGTGGGGACTGTGGCCAAGGTAATGGTCAATCAGCTTCTCTCTAGAGGTCTTTGGGAACAAAGCATCTCCTTAGACTCTCAGCAAACAAAGGACAAAACAAATCTTAATCTTACAACTGTTTAATAGAGAGATGTCAGCCAGACTCAGTGGCCCTCGCTGTCTGGATGGGCAGCTAAAATTCCTGAGGAAAGCTTTGGGGCCTTCAGAATTGATACATTTTGTGATGAGAATTAATGATTCCTCCTCCCAAAGAAATTTCTTTTAGTTTTTAGGAACTAAATTTTCCATACTTACAATATTGCTTTCATCACCAAAATCTGCAGGGTCTCCAATGATATTTATCGCAACCAAAGCCACCTAAGAAACAGTTAAATAGGCAGACATTAAGTATGAAGTGTTTGAGATGCCTTAAGCCTTGTAACTAACTCTTGACTGTGGTGTTATAACTCTTGACTGTGGGGAGGGTATATCCCAAGTGCACTGATAGTAAGGTGCACGCTAATGTAGAGAACTGTGAAGTGCTCAGTAGGTTATTACAACTACTGTTCTAATGCTCAATCAAGTCACTATGGTTTACAGGTTTCCAAAACATAATCACTACCTAGAGTTTTAGCAGAATCTTCCAATAAGAGGTCTCTGTCCACATTAGCCCAGAAAAGGAAGAGAAACACTGAATTAACACAGCTCAGTTAACCCACGTGCTGATTTTCACCTTTCACCCTTGGTGGAGAAGTTGCTCTCCTCCCCATCCATCAGTTGGGCCCAAGTTCCTAACTGGTTTCCACTGGGGGACACGTGCAGATGGGGGGAAGGGGAAAAGACGTTCCCCCAGGTCACGCTAGAACGGGGCCTCATGACATAGCAGCTGTGCATTTCAAGACTCATTTGCCTGTTCCAACATGTGACCTGTCGGCTTTCTCCTGTTCTTGGAGAGGCAGCAAGGGGTACCGATGTGTGCAAGCAGGACTGTTCTGGACACACTTCCTTTCCTTCGTCAGGTGGGAAGAGGCTTTGGGACCGAACTCAGGCTCTGAGTGTGGGTTCCACCACTGTAGCAAGCACTTTAGGCCCGAGCTACACTGGGGCAGTCCCAAAGGTTCTGGCTGCCTTTGGGAACCTACTCCTCTTACTGGGGTCGCCTTGCCCAGGATTATTACAGGAGCAGGTGCTTAGTCCTACTGCAACTTCATACGTCATGCTTTGCTCACACCCATGGGAGGCCTGTCCCTCTTCAACAGAAACAGAGAATGGATCTGGGGTGGCGGAGGGAAAGTGGGGGGAGAGAATGGGAGAAGGGAGAGGAAGCTGCAGCTGGGATGTAAAATAAACAAACAAGTTTAATTTAAAAAGGAAAGAAGAGGCAGGGGGTAGCTGAAGCGGGTGGACCAGCTGCAAGCGAGCGGCGAGCGGCTTTCCACGCCCTGGCCTCCAACAGTTCAGAGGGTTCATCTCATCACGCTGCCCAAACAACACACTGCCAGGCATACACACCGTGTGAACGAATGTGGAGTGACTTTACCACACGAGCGTCAAACTACTACACTAAGCTGAAGTGAAAACCCCAGGAAGCCCTTCACTCTCTTCACCTGAGTCTGGTCCAGTCACCGGGCTCTGGCTACATGCCAGAGTTGACAAACGGGAGAGCCTGGCTTCAGAGAGCAACAGCCACTCACACAACCACTCTTCTGAGAGCACCTTGACTGTGCACATACAAGGGTACCTGAGCTGTCCTCTCATGGAGGGGTGTGTGCCTGTGTGTGTATGTGCACGTGTGCATGTGTGTGTGTGCCTGTGTATGTGCGCATGTGCATGCGTGCATGTGTGTGTGTGCCTGTGTGGGTGCGTGTGTGTATGTGTGTGTATGTGTGTAAGGAGGCAGGCGTATGCTCTGGTGTCAGGGCAGAGCCTCAAGCACACACACATCTTACCTGATTATATATGTTGTACTTGTTGGCATGGTTTTGGTGAAAAATCAGTTTAAGAAACTGCCCCACGGCATCCACATAAACAGACTTGAGCTCCCGGGCCTTGCAGCCTGTCTTCTCATTGTCACACAGGGAGACGTAGCTGAAAGGAAAAGCAGGCCCCCCCACTGAACGCCTGAAGCACTGTTGACAAGGCCGCCCCCTCCCCCAACGCCTGAAGCACTGTCGACCAGGCCGCCCCCCACTGAACCCCACAGGTACAGGAGGCACCCTGCCTGCTAAGCACATGGAAGATCACTAAGGGCCAAGAGGCACAGCCCGGGGAGCTGCCAGGCTCAGTGGGACCCCTGTGCCATCACACTATTCTCACCCCAGTCTGCGGAACCGCTCTCCTTGGTACGGCACCAAGTACTCAGGCAAGCTTTCACTGATGTAGAACTCGACCTTACTGGAAATCATGTACTGATGAGCAAGCAACTGCAGTTTTCTTATTCGACACCTCTCCACCATCTGGAGGACAATTTCTTGTGGAAACTGGCAGAACCTGAGAGCAAACACACTTGTGGGTTTCCGAGCAATGCCTGCACTTTTCCTGTGGGCCTGCTTTCAGGCAGGCCAGTATGAGGCCCAGCATACTGGATGTGGGGTAGCCTGTTCCTGACTAGAAGACTGCTTTGCTTCCTCCCTTCGAAAGCTGACTGGCTCTGCTGGCCACCGCAAACCTAACCTCAGGCTGTGAAGAGTAAAGGCGGAGGTGGACTTCAGGTTTATCAGGAGACAAATCAAGCATTCTTATGGAGCTGTACCAGGAGGCTGGGCAGAGCCAAAGGCTTCCCCACAGGACCCTGAGGACATGAAGGAAGCTCCCGCTTAAAGGACACCAGGCTGTCAACAAGCAGGAGGTGACTTCCTGGTGTGCTGAGGGCTCCAGGCACAGGCTGAGCTGAAGCGTCTAACTTCGCTCAGACACACTGCATGAGCACCAAGCAAGACCACTTCGGTCAGCAGGAACCCTACACAGCAGGCAGTCACGGCATGACTCAGCAGTACAGTGTGTGGAAAGACAGCACTGACACTGTGAGCTGGCAAGCACCGTGGGCAGATGGGACAAAGGAGCTCTGAAGGATGGATAGTCATAGGCCCCTCCCCTCGCAGTACCAACATCCTTGCCTGGTGACCCGTGTGTGTGTGTGTGTGTGTGTGTGTGTGTGTGTGTGTGTGTGCGCGCGCGCACAGGTGTGTTGTCTGTGCTCACCTCCTGGGCCTGAGCTCATCTCCCTGGCCTGTGCTCACCTCCCGGGCCTGTGCTCCGGGTTCTTTGACTTCTTTAGGTTGGGTTTAGTGCTCTCCCACTGAGCTATACACTGAGCCTCCCATTCTTATAAAGTACATTGACAGGGACAGATTGGTTTTGAATAAGAATAATTTGCTTCGAATAAAAGCAGCTGAGTGGATGAAGGTCCCTGCTGCCAACCCAGGCAACGGTAACAGAGAACTGAGTCCTACAAGTTGACCTCTGATTTCCACACACACATGCAGTGACATGCAAGGGCACACACATAATACATGTAAGAAAATTCATCTGGAACCCGAGACTGGTGTGCAGGCTGGAGCAGTCAGCTCTGGAGATCTTAAGTCTGGATTCCTGGCTCTAAGAAAGACACAGCAGGAACTTCCTCCATCCCATAAGTAGCACCCTGTGCCTAGCTACACCAGCACCCTGAGCATCCTTTCTGAGACACTGGTGACAGGACAGCTTGCCCATCTTGGTGACACTTCTTTTGAGGATGCTTTCTCTTGACTCTTGCAACATATTTGACCTCAGGTAAATCAGGAGACTACTGGGCCAAACCTAGTGTGACTCTGTGGAGGTGACCAGGGGTACATATACCCTTTCCTTTGGTGGCCTCTGGAAGCATGCTCCTGAAATGGATATAGTTATGACCTTAAAGAAATACCGTGCCAATAACAAAAGTTCCTTGTGAGCATGACTTGCAAAATTACTGTTACAAAGGAAGCCCTGCATATTTGCTTAGGAACCTTCAAGCTTCATGGGATTGCAGGGCAGAGATGGCGAATGTCGAAGGTCTCTGCAGAGGAAAACTCAGAAGGCAGAGATTGCAAGCTTTACCCTTAGCAGCTGGAGGGAGGCAGGAGACCACTGAATCGGGGAGCACAGGAGGAAAGTGGGTGTGTCTGGGAGCACGGGCCTGGCCTTCCTTCCCAGTGGCACCCGGACTGGCAGGTGTAGGGAAAACCAGTGCAACAGGACTGAACTAGGAAGCTCCTGCATTGCTGCTCTGTCCCATCCGTTTGACTTCTCCAGTCCCCAGAGCTCAGGCACAGTGTGTGTGTGTGTGTGTGTGTGTGTGTGTGTGTGTGTGTGTGTGTATGTGTGTGTGTGTCTCCTGTCTCCTGCTTACTGGGTCCCCTTACAAACTCCAAGAGGAAAATGCACTTTAATTTTAGTGATTTAATTTCGTTTCCACTGACCAGAAATGCATTTCATGTTTTTAGAGCATGAGGGATTCAGACTCAGAGATGGGCTCTGCCCTGCCCCTCAGACCAGCCTTACTTTGGTGACCTCCAGCCACTGACAGTTGGTGCATGGATCATTAGTTCCCGGGCACTGAAACCATCTTCATGTCCAGAAGAGCTGACCACTACAAATCCGATCTTGTGGGGCATTCTGCACACACGGGCTGCTCAGAAGATCAGAGAAGAGTTCTGTGAAGGAATTCAACTAGGTTAGAGGCATTAGCTCATGTCCTACAAGGTAAGCCACAAAGTACTCAGAATTGCCCACCACTCTAAAAGGCTAGTTTGTCTAAAAAAACGTTTTTAAAATGGATGTTCTAATTCTACTTCATGTACCATTTAAGCCATCTTGATTTTCCTGGAGGTCTGACCTGTGCTGCGGGCTGAATTACATTCATACTAATGATCAGACCCGCCTTTGTTGCATGTGCATGTGACCTTACTGGGGTTTCTCCAGATGTGACCAAATTAAAATGACACCCCACTGGGGGACTCCATTGCGGCTGTATACTTTTAAGAAGAAGAAAATGATCTGGGTGAATACTGCAAAGGTATAATGCCTGTATAAAAGCACACAGAAGGCCAGGTGTGGGCTTCATATCCAGAAGCTCCCCACTCCCCCACAAAACAAACATCTCCCCAATAAACACACACACAAGAAGTAGAGGCTCAGACACACATGGGGTGGATGCCACATACTGACAGAGACTAGAGCCACTCAATTAAGGCTAAGACTGATGTTGGAAACCATCAGGAGCTAGAAAAGGCAGAAAGACCCACACCTCAGAGATGCCTGTCCCTACTGCCACTTTAATGCCAGCCCTCTTGCTCTGAAATTCCTAAGCCATCCTGCTTGTGATACTGTTATGGGAAAACCAAAGCTTCTGGTTGGGTACAAGTGTCTTGTCTTTTGTATTATAGAGGAAACTAACAACTAGTAATCATTAGGGAGGGGTAGCCTAATCATAGTATAGCAGTAACTGCCTTGTGTAAATGTGCAGCCCTAAGGAAAGCAGGGCGTGCAGATGCACCAGGCAGAAGTGAGCACTGCAGCATTGAGAGCCTGACCCAGGACATCTTAAAGTGTTATCTGAGACCAAGATGGACCAGCATCATCAGCTGGCTCCCAGATCCTGGGAGGATGTGGAAAGCCACACAGAGATGCTCAATAGGGTACCTTGCTGGGTCTCTTCCCTTCACCCTCCAGATGGGCACAAACAGTTGTCAGTTCCCCCCCGAACCTAGACAATCAAGCCAGGCCAGGATAGGCTACACGATACTGGGTGGAGGCTTGGGGGCAGGCAGCAGGGACAGACCTTCCAGTCCTTGTGAAGGAAGAGTGCAGAACACGTAACGGAACTGAGGGGAGACATGGCCAAGCCTGAGGGAGTGAGTCTGGAGAGGAAAATCTGGCTGAATGATGCTCTCAATGTGAGTATCCCGTGAGCTGACCTGTGCCCTGGCTCCCCACTGCCTTTTGGAGGATGCCTGTTGCCATGCCTACTTTGCTGCTCGGCGCCCATGCTCTCCATGCTGGAAGTCAGCACACAGACTCAGCACTGTGCTGTTGATGCTCCATTCCCCTCCAGGCCTGGTTGGGGGCTGCTGCACTTTTCTAGGCTTGGGCAGTCTATGAATTCCACGTCCCTGCACTGGGAGGGTTCATGGATGGGAACACGCATGGGAAGCACATGACACCCTATCCCAGGATTATGTTGCGGTCACAGTAAAGGAGCTTTCTTCCCACAGAGACTCCTGTCACTAGAGTCCAGGGCTGCTGAGGCCACCAGAGAGGAGGCCCTGCCCAAGTGAAGCTAACCTTGGGCAGCAGCACCACACTCACAACCCTAAACGCTCATGGCCTCCTGGCGACTTCTCAGTTACCAAGTCAATCAAATACCTGCTAAGCAAGACAACTGGTGGTAAAGTAAATCACCATCAGCAGAGAAACAAAAATACTCCTTCTAATACAGGAATAAGAAGTCCACTGGAAGTTTCTTGGAATAAGATACACCACTGAAATACTCTGTAGGCAGGACTATCCAAAGTATCCCTCAGGAAGCCTGGTTCATTAAACATGCCTGATGTATAACCTAGAGCTTTGTCTTACTTTCACCGTATTTGGAAAGGGACCATTTCAAGCATCAATGCCAGTCTGGTGTGTGTGTGTGTGTGTTGATTGTATGGACCAAACTATTACAGCTAGAATGGCAAGTCAGTGTTATAAATGCTACTCTGAGTTCCCTGTGGCTGTCACAGCAGAGTGGAGGAAAGTGACCCAGGAAATAATCAAGAGCAGTACTCTGGCATGGTTGGGTGGCTTAACCAGCTTCTCCTCCCTCTGACTGATGAGGCTACACCCCTAGGTCACTCGGGTCCCTGGGCCTGGAGCTAAGGAACCCCTCAGCCACTACGATTCCCTTCAGCATCCACCAGCAGCATGCAAAGTCTCTTCCGTACCCCTAGTCCAGGTGGTTGCAACTGCCTTGGCTCCTGCACCACCCATGGTCCTGGGTGTAAACATTCTCCAGTTACCTCTATCCAGGTCTTAACCCCCCCCCCCCAGGAATTAAGATGGGGATTCTGTCTGGACACCTTGTTTCCACACTCTTACTGCTTGTCTTGGATTTTCTGTTATTTTTTGAGGCAGAGTCTCACTATCTAGCCCTGACTAGCCTAGAATTTGATACGTACACTACACTGGCCTCAAAGTCACAGCGACCCTCTTGCCTCAGCACACAGAGTACTGGGATTAAAGTCCTGTGCCACTATACCTCACCATGCTGTGAATTTTACAGAGCATCCTAAGCTAACGAACACTTGAAGGTCGGTCTGTCTGTCTATCTATCCATCCATCCCTGGCTCTGACTTTTCCAATTCTTTGACCATCTTCAAGGGCCTGGCCTATGCCAGGCGTGTTAGCACACATGTTTACTCTCAGTGTGTGGAGGAAGGAGCTCTGTGAGTCTGAGGTCAGCATGGTCTATGTAGGAGTTACAGGGCTACATAGCGAGAGACAGTCTTAATCAAAACAAAAACAAGCAAAAACAAAAGCAATAATAACAAAAGAGCAGGCCTTTCAACCTTGACATCAGTTGTGCTCAATTGGGTCTGAATCTTCTGGGATATACTGAGACTTGCAAACAAGAGTGTTAAAGGCAGATACAAGTGTGTCCTCAGTAAAAGCAAAACAAGTAACTGGTACCGAAGGCCCTGGCGGGAGGGCTGTGGGGCAGTGAGAAACACCAGGACCTCAGTATGGACACCTGCACTCCCTTTTCAGACTGTCACTAAAGGAGACCTGCCCACCTGCTACTCCTTCCCTCTGCTCCACTCTCCAGGAGTCTCCGTGCACACAAAACCCACCATGGAAACTTTTGAATCTCCGCAATGCAATGCTGGGTTACTGGCGGGTCACCAGATGGGAGTGGTGTGCCAGCCACAGGGTAACATTTACCCTAGCATTGCTTATAAACTGTAACTAAGCCCAAACTCTATATATTTGGTTGCGAGCCTACTACCCTTTCTCTCTCCAGCCCTAAATCCAAACCCAATGTAGCAACTTCCAAACATTTTGTTACAAGGAAACAAAAGAGTTTCCAGTTTCCTTTTCAAGAAACGTAAACATTACAATATTAAGTATTGACTTGGGGACAATTAATCTTAAGGATTCAAAGTATTTTTAGAGAATCTTAAAGCTTAAAAAAAAAAAAAAACTCAACCCACCCCCCCACCCCCACAACACGGATCAAAGTGTAGCCTACGCGGGGCCAGAGCCACACTCTTCAGTCTCGTGGTAATTAGTCCTGTTCAGTAACGCACCCGGAAGAGGACGCGGCGGGGCTGGAACCGGATCCTCGACGCCGAGGCCGAGATGCGCTGCCCGGAGGCCTCAGCAGGCAGCGGCCACGTCCCTCCGCGGCCAGGTGTCTTCCGCCTCGGTGCCTGCTGAGGACCGAGCGCCACGGAGACGAGCAGGCGGGACGCTGCGACGCCGGCCCCCGCTCCCTTCGGAGGGGCCTCGCCTCGGTCCGGCCGCCCCCAGCCCGGGCCACTGAGGCGAGGGCAGCGGAGGAGCAGCCCGGGCCGCCTCTGCCCAGCGCCCGGGCCGCAGCCACGCTCCCATGGCAACCAGGCCGGCCCGCGCTGTACGCTTGCGCGTACGCCCGCAGGCGCCTGCGCGCGCAGCCACGTCTCGCGGATTCCGGCTGGGGGACGGGTCCTGCAGCCGGACGTTTCGGGTCGCGCCTGCCTAGGAAGAGAAAAGCGTTCCGGGAGGCGCCTACACACCGCGGTTCCGGAAGGGGCGAGGAGCCGACGTCAGTCATCCTCGTCCCGTGCGCGCCAAGTCCGCTGCCTGAGCCCTGCAATGTGCGCTGTGCTCCGCAAACCCAAGAGCGTCAAGTTGCGAGCCCTACACAGCGCGAGCAAGTTCGGCGTGGCGGCACGGAGCTGCCAGGAGCTGCTGCACAAGGGCTGCGTCCGCTTCCAGGTGGGTGGGGGCTGCGGGCGCTGCGGGGCGAGGACCCCGGTTACTACTCGCACGGTTTCCGTCTCCTTGTATGGGTTTGGACGGGCGCTGGGCTCCTGTGGTCAGGTGTCGTCTGGAAGCCCGGACTGGGTGGGATAAAGTGCTCTTCCTGTCCTCCAGCTCCCGGTGTCCGGCTCCCGGCTGTGCATGTACGAAGATGGCACGGAGGTGACCGACGACTACTTCCCGAGTCTCCCCAACGACGCCGAACTCCTGCTGCTCACTGCTGGCCAGACCTGGCAGGGCTGTGAGTAGGAACACTTTGGAGATGGGCGGGACCCAGACAGGAGCCTAGTAGATCAGGACAGGGGCTCCGAGTGCCGAGAGCTTTGGCCGAGGAACTCTGTTTTCAGTGGTTTTTTTATTTTGTAATTGCCAAAGGCAAGGGGGAAAGGACTGGGCGTCCTGGGGAAGGTGTTGCTGTGCAGGGCAAGGCAGGGTAGGGCAGGCATGGTTGCCCAGGGATGTTCTCCAACAGGTTAGTGCTGGAACGCCATCAGGAATCACAGTTTTTATTGAAGCTCTTCTAGGTAGCTGTGTGATGACAGCTCATTGTGACTTTAATCCGAATTCCCCGGTGGCAGTGGGATTGGATATCATCTTTATGTGTTACTATTTGCTGCCTGCAGGCACTCCTTGGTGAAGGAGTCGTAATGTCTTTTGTGTTTTTTAATCGGATTTTTAAAGCTGTTGAAGTATTTACCCCACCTCCAGAGAATCCTGGTTATGACTTCCATGTCAAATAATGTGGTTTCCAAGTATCTCCTGTTGTGTACCTTTTCATTATCTTTATCAACACTGAGCTTCAACCAGCTGAGCTAACTGGCCATGCTCTTTTTATGCTCTGTAGTAGAGCAAAAGGTTCTGATTTGGGGGAATGGGAGGATAAGGCTACACAGTCTAGTAGCTAAGGCTGGCCTCCCTACCAACTGCTGCTGGCATTCCAGGCATGTGCCCCACACCCAGCTTCAAAGTTGCTGACTGTGGTGACATCCAGATTGTCGTTTTCTTCGCTGGGCATTTTCACTGTCCAGGAACCTCTTGGAAGTCCTGGCCTCCCGAGGTTTCAGAAGACCTCACTTCTTCAGCTTGCTCACACAGTTGACTCACCAGAGTACTGAGTATGAGCCAGATTTGCAGCCTCACTTGGCTTTCATCTGTGCTTTTTAATTGTTATTGGATTCTGTTTGCTCCTGTTTGGTTCAGGTCCTCGGGAGAATACACTTGGCATTCAGCACTTGCTGGGAAAGCTCACTGTAGTCACTTGTGGAGAGAGTGTCTGGGAAAGTAGGGAGAGGGACTGGGAGGCCTGGAGGTGAGGTCCTGAGGAAATGAGCAAAGGAGGTTACAATGTGCAGGAGAGGCGACCAGGAGAAGAGCAAGTGTACTTTTCTAGAGCGCTACAACCCCGTCGCCTGACAGGAGGTGGCCAGAGGAATGGAATTGGTAGTGTATTCCTGTGGAGGTGTCAAGTGTCAGGGCAAGGGTTAGTGACACCAGAGTCTTGACTTCTGGCAGTCTCTGGGCTGAGTGGACAGGATGCTCTTCTTGGGGCCAGAACAGCATGAATGTGTTTCTGTTTGTCTCCCGGTGGTGGCAGATGTGAGTGACATCACTCGCTTCCTTAGTGTGTTTAATGAGCCACATGCCGGGGTCATCAGGGCTGCAAGGCAACTGCTGTCAGATGAGCGGGCCCCACAGAGGCAGAAGCTACTGGCCGACCTTCTGCATCATGTCAGCCAGAACGTCACTGCTGAGACCCGGGAGCAGGACCCTTCCTGGTTTGAGGGTATGTGGCTCGGGGTGAGCATGGTGGCCAGGGTGTCTGGGGCAGGCACAGAAGGGCCTCTTTGGAAAAGATCCTGATGCTTCTCAACCAAGGGTGTGGCCTGTGGAGTGTGTGAAAACAAAAGGTGCCATGGGAAGGCATCTGGCCGGGACTCCTGGGAGGATGCAGTGTCCTGGGTAGCTTCAAAACAGCCTGGCTTCTTTTGTTTGTTTTTGTTTTAAATCATTCTTCTGAAAGGCATGGTAAGATGCATGGAATGTGGAGTTTACCACTTTACCATTTGAGAGAGAGAGAAAGCATGTGTGCGTGCGTGCGTGCGTGCGTGCGTGCGTGTGTGTGTGTGTGTGTGTGTGTGTGTGTGTGTGAGGATAACCCTGGTGTCATCCTCAGGAATGCCACTTACCTCCTTTGAGATAGGGTCTCATTGCCTGGAGCCTGTCAGTTAAGCCAGGCCGACTGGCCAGCAACTTCAGGGCTCTCTCCTATATACTTCATATCATCCCCGGGTCATACAATGCAAACGCTGGGAAAGTAGTTGTTGGCTGGTCTCTTGAAGGAATAATGACAAGGACACAGTCTGCAGGGTCCTGGGAGATGGCTCAGTGGGCAGTGCTTGCTGCTTACACTTGAGGACCTGAGTTCAGATCCCTGCACCTGTGTAAACTCCAGGTGTGTGGCACATGTGTAACCTCAGTGTTGGGGAACAGAGCCAGGCAGATCCTTGGGGTTCACTGGTCAGCCAGTGAAACCCAAACAGTAAGCTGCAGGTTTAGTGACTCTCAGTAGTGACCTCTGCCCTTTACATGTGCATGCATGGGTGAGTGCATCTGCACAGAGGTGCACACATATGGCACATTCATGTACACCGCATGCACACACACACACACACACACACACACACACACACACACCCTTAAAACCCTTTAAAACAGAAAACAACCCACATTCTTAGTTCAGATGTAAGGTTTTTTATTATTTATTAATTTGTGTTAGGTTTGGTTCTGGTCTATCGAGACAGGGTTTCTCTGTGTAACCCTGGCTGCCCTGGAACTCACTCTGTAGACCACGCTGGTCTCAAACTCACAGAGATCTGTCTGCCTGCTTCTGCCTCCCAAGTGCTGGGATTAAAGGCGTGCACCACCACTGCCAGGCTTAGGTGTAAGATTTTTAAATGGTTCACACCTGTGGTTGGGTGACTCTATTGTACGGAAGGCGGTGGTGCAAATTTGGTGACATTCGATGCATCCAAGCACCTTCACTTGTCCGTCATCAGCACTGGCATGTCATGTCAGTCCACTTCATCTTGCCTGTGCTCTGTGGCTCTGCAGCCCAGCCCCTCTCACTCCAGTTTTAGCTCCATGAGTGGGACACCTCCACACATCTTCCTTTCATGTGGCACCGTGTGTGAATGGAGTCACATCTTGTTTTCCCTGTCCCTTTCTTGTCTGCTTGACTCCTGAGCTATGCAGGACACAAACCAAGAGGTTGTGGTCTGCCTGTGGGCTCCAGAGTCTTCTCTCTTGTAGGTTTGGAGTCTCGATTCAGGAACAAGTCTGGCTACCTGAGATACAGCTGCGAGAGCCGGATCCGGGGCTACCTGAGAGAGGTAAGGCCATGTTCACATCATGGTGAGTGCTCAGCACAGGCTGGTCAGTGGGTGGGGTTCCCTCTCCTCTGCTGATGCTTATCTGCAAGGTTGCTCTGTTAGCAGAAGGCATGTGTACCTCAGAGAGGCAGGAGCATCGTGCATCTGTTCTCTTCTGCAATTTAGCCTCTGACCACATTGTCCAACAGGTGTTAGGACCTTTCTGAGCCATGTCCTTTGGTTAGGGTCAGAGCCTCAGCCTCAGCTCTTATTCCTCTCCTGTTTGGCAGGGATCCTGTTGTGTAGAGTACTACCAGCTTGCATCTTGTGCAGTTGGCAGGTCGGTTCTGATGTGAACTTCATTCCATTATGGATAAGTTTTCTGCATCCCCTCCCTTTCCCTGCTGGCACCTTACATTTTAATTTCTCTCTGGGCATATTGCAGTCCTCTGACTTTGGAAAAGTGGAATACAGGACTGAAGACACCTTTGCTTGGGGTGCTTTGTAGCTTTGCTCCGAGGGACTGCTGGGTCTCAGTGCTGGCTCTAAGTGGACAAAGGCCTTCTCTGGGGGAGTGGCCAGTGGCTCTCTCTCGTGCAGCTACACCTAGCGTGAACTCCAGGAGAAGGCTGTCTTTGATGCCCTGATACCTTCTCTGCCTGGCGTCCTTTCAGTGAAGATGTGGATGCCAGTGAGGTTCAGAGTGGAAGGAGACCCTCCGTGGTGAGTGGGACCTGCCCACATGGGGGCTTGAGGTGCCCATCACTTGGCCTTTTGTGCCTGCCTGCACTGGGCTCCACATGACTGCCTTCATGTAGATAGCATGAGCGTGGATGGGTGGTCTGGGACAGCAGTTGGCTGGTGGCACAGGCCTGGGGCTTCTCCATGCTGTTTTACAGCGTGTCACCCCTGAGCTTCTTGGTTGAAAGCAGGTCCTAAGGCTGTTTGCTTCCTCCATCCACATCCTCCTCTGAATGTGATCCTGCTGTGTAGCTTGGGGGAAACTTGGCATGTGCCTGTGTTCCCAGAGCCTCTGCTGGTTGAAGCTACCCCACTTCCCATGGGTATGGAGGGCCTGCCTGACCAGCTGGCCTGAAACCCTGACTGACTTGGCTGTTCTCTTATCTCTGTGGACACTGCTTGCCTGCACTGGGCCTGCTGGGCTCTCAGGCAGATCTCCATTGGGCAGGCTCTAGGACTTCCTTTTTAAGCTGCTGTGTGGCATTACACTGTATTCACTTACCTGTTAGCCGTCCTCCACACGGAGTGGGGTCTGCAGGAGCACCGTTAGCCGACCTTCAGGAGCACGGTTAGCCGTCCTCCACACACAGTGGGATCCTCCACATGGAGTGAGGTCTGCAGGAGCACCGTTAGCCGTCCTCCACATGGAGTGAGGTCTGCCTGTTCATTGTGGGGACAGTGGTGCTCCAAGCCTGACTGCTCTGCCCAGGTTTCTTGTAGGTAGCAGTAGCCAACCCCAGGCAGACAGGAGGGCCAAGAGAATACAGAGAGCTTGAGTTTGCTGGGCCATGAGCAAAGCTGAGGAGCCAGCCGAGGCCAGGCAGCTGGAACAGCAGGTCCCTGGGCTTTCTTTGTTTTTAAACCTTTTACCTTTCTCCGCTCCCTTCCAGAGTGGGGGACAGCTTGGCCTGGCCCTCATTATCTGCTCATTTGCATATAAGGTCCTCATTGGTCATCTTTGCCTTCATTGTCTGCTCATTTGCATGTAGGGCTCCTTCTTGACTGGCAGGTAGAAAGTGACTGTGTGCTGCCCCTGTACCCCCCAAACCCAGCTTCATTCATCTTCTCAGTGTGTCACAGCTGCTAATGCTCTGGTGTCCAGTGTTCTGTACTCCATGTGGCCTTGGCGATTGTCCCACATGACCTAGCATCGTAGGTGCCCTGACTGGCCCTGGTACCTGCATGGGCCCTTTTGTCACCGCTGCTCACCTGAGCACAGGGGGAGCACTGACTAAATGATCTAACCCCTCCCCGTTCCGCCCCCCATGGGATCTTGCTATGTAGAGCAGCTGGCCTTTGGGATCCTCCTATTTCACCTCCCAAGTGATCAGATTACAGATGGGTACAGCTCTCTCTGCCTGGCCTCTTGTCAATTCCATTTCATGGGCCAGAACGGTTTCCCAGGCCGTGATCGCTGAGCAGTGGTCAGACACTCTGACCGCAAGACTGGGCGTCGGCAGGTGCCTGACCACCAGTGTGGGTGGCATAGGTTGGTGGCTGAAGCTGGCTTTCGGGCGTGGGCTCAGGCTCCGCTGTGTCTCTGGCCCCTCTTTCAGGTGAGTGCTTACGCCTCTGCGGTGGATGCAGCGGCTCGAGGAGAATTTGAGCGGGTCCTTAGCTCCATGAGCCAGAAACTCAAGTCTGTGAAGTACAACGGCAGCTACTTCGACAGAGGTGCAGAGGCCGGCAGCCGTCTCTGTACTCCAGAAGGCTGGTTCTCCTGCCAGGTGAGCTTTGTGCTGGGCTCAGTAAGTACTGCTGAGCACAGCCTCCTGGGGTGAGAGGCCTAAGAGTAGATGCTGGCCCTCACATTCAGAGCGCGGGAGGAGGTAGGGATGGGGGTGTGTAGTTGTTGGCGTGTTAGTATGTGGTACTGTAGGAGCACTGGAGCATGCTGGGAGTAACGGGTCTGCTCCTGTGTGGATCTGTAGAGGCACATAGCAGAGGGTGGTTCTCTAGTAACAGGGGCACATAGCAGAGGGTGGTTCTCTAGTAACAGGGGCACATAGCAGAGGGTGGTTCTCTAGTAACAGGGGCACATAGCAGAGGGTGGTTCTCTAGGAACAGGGGCACATAGCAGAGGATGGTTCTCTAGTAACAGGGGCACATAGCAGAGGGTGGTTCTCTAGGAACAGGGGCACATAGCAGAGGATGGTTCTCCTGTAACAGGGGCACATAGCAGAGGGTGGTTCTCTAGTAACAGGGGCACATAGCAGAGGGTGGTTCTCCTGTAACAGGGGCACATAGCAGAGGGTGGTTCTCTAGTAACAGGGGCACATAGCAGAGGGTGGTTCTCTAGTAACAGGGGCACATAGCAGAGGGTGGTTCTCCTGTAACAGGGGCACATAGCAGAGGGTGGTTCTCCTGTAACAGGGGCACATAGCAGAGGGTGGTTCTCTAGGAACAGGGGCACATAGCAGAGGATGGCTCTCTAGTAACAGAGGCACATAGCAGAGGGTGGTTCTCTAGGAACAGGGGCACATAGCAGAGGATGGTTCTCTAGGAACAGGGGCACATAGCAGAGGGTGGTTCTCTAGGAACAGGGGCACATAGCAGAGGATGGCTCTCTAGTAACAGGGGCACATAGCAGAGGGTGGTTCTCTAGGAACAGGGGCACATAGCAGAGGATGGCTCTCTAGTAACAGGGGCACATAGCAGAGGGTGGTTCTCTAGGAACAGGGGCACATAGCAGAGGATGGCTCTCTAGTAACAGGGGCACATAGCAGAGGGTGGTTCTCTAGGAACAGGGGCACATAGCAGAGGATGGCTCTCTAGTAACAGGGGCACATAGCAGAGGGTGGTTCTCTAGTAACAGGGGCAGAAATGCCTTTATCTTTTGGAAACTCCGAATACAAGATGAGGGGCAATGGAACATTGAGGGCAGGTAGAATTCCAAAGACAGAATTCTTTAAAAATTAGGTTTATTTTTTATGTGTGTGGGTGTTTTGCCCGTGTGTATATCCGTGCACACGTGTGCCGTGTGCCTGGTCCCCTGTGGAGGCCAGGAGAGGGTGTCAGATCCCCTGGAACTGAAGTTACAGGTGGTTGTAAGCCACATGTGATTCTGGGAATCAAATCTTGGTCCTCTAGGAGAACAGCCAGTGCTCTTAATCCCTGCACCATCTCTCTAGCCCAGGGGGAGAGAATTTTTGATCTCTAATGAACAGCAAACACTTTTGTGTAATGTGTAGTTGAGGCTAGCTGACTTAATACTTATTTTATTTTTGTGTATATGTGTGTAATGTTTGTGTACACAAGCCACGGCATGGGTGTGGTCAGAGGGCAAACCACACCTGGCTTTTACGTGGACCCCAGCATCCAAGCATGGTTCTCAGGCTTGTGTGGCAAGTGCTTTTCCTCCTGAGCCATCTCCCTGGCCTTAAACTCTAAATCCTCCTGCTTTTGCCTCTTAGTGCTGGGGATACTGGTGTTGCCACTGGCTGGTTCAAACTTCTGTCCACGGATAAAATGCCTTGTGGGGCCTGCTCCTTAGCAAGCTTGTTGGCTTGGAGGAGAGCAATACTGTCCCTCACTCCTACCTTTCCAACCCCTGCCTTGGTCACTGCAGGGCCCCTTTGACCTGGACAGCTGTCTTTCCAAGCACTCCATCAACCCCTATGGCAACAGGGAAAGCCGGATCCTCTTCAGCACCTGGAACCTGGATCATATGTGAGTGTCTGTCACCAAGATTCAGGTTCACTCATCAGAACTAACCCAGCATCTGGTTGGGCTCTTACCCCCGCTCAGGTCTGGTCCGTTGCAACTGTGTGGTTTAGGCCCAGGGACAGACCCTACATGCTTATGGAAGGGGCTTCTGGCGAGACGCTGCTGTTCTACCAAGTGTCAGTGCCCAATGCTAAGCCGTCTCTCTGCCCTCCTGCCTCCATCTGTGGTGAATCTGGTGGCCTGACTCCTCATGGTCCAGTGTTAGACCCTAACACTCTGTGCTATGTGTTTGAACCACAGGAGCCCACTTTAGGGCTGTGGTGTGGGAGGTCAGAGCCAGCTGGGCAAGCTGCAGCCTCTCCTCCTGGAGCAGGGCAGGGCGGGAACATAATTCTGCAGCTCTTACTGTAACTACCCTTGGCCTTACTTTAGGAGGGCCAAGTGCTCCAAGCACCCCGAATGGCTACCTCGACTCTTGGAATCAGAACTATTAGAAGGATATAAAAAGTGAGTTATATTTGAGGGCCCCTTCCCTGTTGCCTGGGAAACCACTGTCCTGAAATGTGCCGTCAATGCTCTCGTACACCTTTGCCAGTGTGGACTTGGGTGCTGCTGCTGCTCTCTGGCTCTGCAGTGCTCTGTCTGTCCACACAACCCAGGGGAACAGCACGGGTGCTGGCACTTGTGAAGATGCTAGCCCCAGGCCGTTCTGAGTACTCACCGCTTTCTAACTACGGGGTGAAACGTAAGTCTGCCAGTTCCATGCCTGACGGTCTGAGCTGTGGACTTGCTGTACCCACAGCTGGTGAGGAACGTAGACTCGGGCCCCACCTGGCAGGCATCATGAGGGATGTCTGCGCGTCTGGTACACTCTAGATGGGAAAGACTGCCCTGGCTCTGACCGCCAGCCTCCTTGGGAAGTTAATGCCTGTGGCCCCTTCCAGCCTTCTCTCTTCCCACGATAGCCAGTTGCTGCGTGTCCCTGCCACCACTCGGTGTCACTATTGCCTCTGCATTTCCCTGTCTGAGGAGAGCGCCCACTTTGCTGCTTCTGTGTTTCCTGGCCCCTGGGAAGGCCGAGGCCTCTTTGTGGCTCTGCCGTTCACGGCTTTCACGTTGCGTCCTTTTGCTCAGTGTTTTTGTCCTGAGCACTGATTCTCTCCTGGCTGGCTGTGTGAGAGGTGTTGTTGGTATATTTTGGGCACATTCCTGATGTCTTGTAGTAACTGGGTGGGTGGCTGTGGAGAGCCCTAGCAGACTAGTCCCGTGTCTTAGGGTCTGAGACACTGTTGTCAGAATACCGACGGCAGGCCCAGAGTGTGCACGGATCCTGCCATTCTTCCCGTGGCTGCAGGGGACTCTGCCCCCCATTTGTCTGCAGCTGCTTTTGCCCTGTGTTTAACGGCAGTGAGTTTTGCTTCTGTTTTTATCCGTCCTTTCTGCTCCTTTTAGGGTTTCTCCTTGCTCTCTAAGTTTCTGTCTTTTGTGTTTTAATATGTGTTCAATGCTACACATCTTGGGCTGCACCTGGCTTCAGTGTTTTGAGGTCAGAGTGACTGTTCCGATGTCTGAGTCTTTGGCAGGTCTCGGAGTTCCCAGGGCTTTTCTGTCATTTCATGTCATTCTGCTCATCCTTCTTATGCTCCTGTACCTGAAGGTCGAGACTCTGTACACACTCTCTGCTGTTTACTTCACGCTCCCCCTGCAGGGTTTCTGTTGCCCTAAAAGAAGGCGTCTCTTGCTGGCACAGTAGCTGCTGTGTGTGGTCTAAGTGAGACTGTCCGTGCGGTGTCTGGGTATGCTGGCTGCTCAGTAGTTGTTTGGTATTTTGTTGCATGAATAAGTGGGTTTGAACTCATCTCACTGTTTGCTGTACGGCCTGCTCGCACTCCGCACCGCGGACCCACCCGTCACTTCACTCCTCCAGGGCGGTTTATGGGTGCTGTTCCACCTGGCCTTACGCCTGCACAGATGCTTGTTTCCATGTCAGCACCTGTGCGTGCCTTCCTCCTCGCTGCTCACACCTCCTGCATCTTCCTGGTGGCCCTTCCTAGTGCTTCATAAGGAGGGTCTGAGGTGAACGCCCTGTCTGAACTTCTACTGAGCGAGTGGAGAGTGACTGTCCCACCCTGGGTCTGGGATCACAGCCACCTAGGTCCCTTCTGCACTCCCCAGAGGGAGGCTGAGGGAGGTTGATCGCAGTGATTCCTGGCTTCTGCTCATGGGCACTGCTGCCAGGCTTCTGCCTTCTCAGTGAAGACTGGTTCATTCCCTTAACTGAAAGTGTCACACATCCAGAGACACATCGTTTTGGTTCTACTGTGACACGTCCTCCGTTCTGGAGAGCTCTGGTTCTCCTCTGCAGTCTCTTGGATTCCCATGGGCATCCTGGGAACTTCTTGCCACCCACCCTCTTTATGCTGACCCTGCTTGTGTGCTCTGACTCATTGCCCTTGTCTCTGGATAACTTCCTGCTGTGGATTCAATTGCACCCCTCCCCCCACCTGCCACATTGAAGCTGTCACCCAGTGAGACCACATCTCTCCAGGTCCTTTGGGAAAGAGTTAAGGTAAAATGATGCCGTAGGGAGGAGAGCAATCCAACAAGAACAGATATTCTTGTAAGTGGGAGAGCCTGTTCATGCTCTCACTGCTGTGTGAGGGCATGCCAGGAAGTTGGCCCTGATCACACCAGACCACAGCGCAGTGGCTTCAGAGCTGCGAAACGGTAAATGTTGGGGAGGTGGCTTGCTTTCCACCTGCTGTTGTTGTGACTGCGCTTGGACGTGAGCTCCTTTGGTGACTGGCTTTCTGTTGTCGGCTTGTCAAAGCGTCTCTGCAGAGGCCCCTGCATTTGCTCCCTGTGGACGTCCCAGTTTCAGTGGCCCAGTAATTCGACATTGTTTTTACTTTGGTCATACGTGATTGAATCACATGCCAGTGTGGGACACGGGCTGGGGGGGGGGGTCTGTGTACAGTGGGTACGTGAGCAAACAGCAGTCACTAAGGGCGTAGAAGTACTCACGCACGGGGCTTGCCTTGTTGAATGGCCACGTGAGCGGCCCAGCCTTGCGTTCTTTTTAGTAAGTTAAGCAGTGCCTACTGTTCAAGTTTGCAAAGTAAGACAAGCTTGCGCAGGGCTCTGTCTCACTGACCATGCCCACCCATGGCCCACATCAGGGATGGGGGGGATGGGCAACGCCACCATGCTGTGCAGCACGGTGCTGGGCTCCTCTGGTGACTCACCCTCAAGTCCTATCCATTTCACCACCTTGGCCCTTTGGGATATTCCCAGCTTAGGTTCCTTAAGAATCTTCAGGATCCTCTCACCTGTAAGCAGGTGTCTTTAGGTCTCTATCGCTGTGATGAAACACTGTCCAAAAGCAACTTCGGGAGGAAAGGGTTAATTTCATCTGAAAGGGAAGTCAGTCAGGACAGTAACTCAAGGTAGCAACTGATGCAGGGCCCATGGAGGAGTGAGTGCTGTTTGCTGGCTTGTTCAGGCTGCTCATCTGACCCAGGACCACCACCTAGGGGTGGCGCTGTCCACCGTGAGCTGGGCCTTCCCACACCAGTCAAGACTTGCTTACACACCAGTGCGGCAGGGGTATTTGCTGTGGTAGGTACTGCGCTATGAGAGTCTGCAGCTGGCTGATGGGAGGGTGCACAGCACCCTGTGGTGTGTGACACTGACAGCAGGTGGGTGTCTTCCCGACTTGGCAGAATAGAGAAGAAGCGCACTGTGGTGCCCACGCTGGCCGAAGCCATCCAGGACGGGAGGGAGGTGAACTGGGAGTACTTCTACAGCCTGCTTTTCACCGCGGAGAACCTGAAGCTGGTGCACATCGCCTGCCACAAGAAGACCACACACAAGCTGCAGTGTGATCACAGCAGGGTCTACCGGCCCCAGAAAGCGTCCAAGAAGAAGTGGCCTGCTCGGAAGCGCCAGTGACACACACCGGGCCCTCTGCCGTGACTGCAGGGTGATGGGCCGTACGTACTGTCACTCTAGAAAAGCCTTTGAGAGTCTTTTTGACGTCTGGTTTGAGTACCTTCCCGGTTTGCTTCCCCAGCCTGACAGCCCAGTGCAGAGGACGGTGCTGGGCGCTCACTGTGTCCCTGTGATGTGGCAGCATCTTCATGTCAGCTTGGGCACTGTGGTATGGGGATGGTATGTGTTAGTCTGCACCTCAGCTTTTATGGCCCGTTTCCATGGCAAAGCCCCACAGCTCTGACTACATTCCTCTGAGAAATGGTGCTTCCGGGATAAATGTTTGCATTTCACAAGGAAGATGGAGGACGTTCTCTGCTTACCTGTTTTAAATGGCAGGAGGTGAGAAGACTCCCAGTTGTCTTCTGGTGAGAACAGCTGACTGGGGCAGTACCTTGAGCCATGGGAAATTGCTGTTTTTCATGGGTTAAATAATGGCTTTCTGCCGAGCTCGGTGGTGCACAGCTTTAGTCCCAGCACTCAGGAAACAGAGGCAGGCAGATCTTTGTGAGTTCGAAGCCAACCTGGTCTACAGAGCGAGTTCCAGGACAGGCTTCAAAGCTACAGAGAAACCCTGTCTTGAAACACCAAACAAATAATGGCTTTCTGTCATGAGTCTCATGACTCAACACTGATACATGTGTGCACAATTGGAGGCGGTTTAAGCTTTTATGTGTAGAATTGGGAAGCTGTTAAAGCACAGTTGGCAGAGAATGACCCCGAATTCATGATACACCTGTGGCATCCCTAGAGCTGGGATTACAGATGTGCACCACCATGCCTGGTATTTGGTTTTGTAAACGTGTGTCAGTTTGTGCAGAGACAGTCTGAGGAAATGCCACACTGTGAAGTCAGTAAACCTGAGGTATTCAGCAGGATGAGATTTGATCACCAGATACTAACTTCCTGCATCATGTATTTTATGGTACTTGATGTTTTGTTTTTCCTTCTAAGATGGATCTCGTTATGTAGTTCTGGCTGGCCTGGAAAGCACTATTAGATCAGCTTAGCCTTGAACTCACAGAGTTCTGCCTCTGCCTCTTGAGTGCTGGGATTAAAGGTGTGTGCACCACTCCTAGCATGAATTTTTTTAAAAAATGAGCATTTTATATGTTTTATAATGTTTGTATTTTTACTGTATTTTAATTACCATTTTTACCATATAATCAGAAAAACAAATAGAGTTTCCAGAATAGACATGTCAGAAGTTCGCATGTATTGGGAAGATGGGGTTAAGTGACACCAGTAGCTGGTGACTGGACTGTTGCTGAGTCCATGGTCACTGTGATGGGAGACGCTTTGCCTGCTTGTGGGTTCAGATGGGAAGTGTCACAGGCAGGAGCTGTCACAGTCAGTGGGAGACAGCAGAAGCCTGGGACCCATGTAAGCTCGGGAGTGTGGGCGGCACACGCTTCAAGGGCAGTGAGCAGTGGACTCACGAGTCAGACTGCGGTGAGGTATTGCCGACAGCTTAGGGAAAGGCATGGGTTTAAATCCCCGGCAAGGCAGAGCCACTCAAGCCATCCAGGGAAGCTCTGGCTTAAACCTGTGAGGCCAAAGAAGAGCCTGTCTTCAGGAAGGTCTTTGCTGGGTGAGTTCTGACTGCTCCAGGCCCTGGGCCCATTTGATCTGTGGGGAGACTTGAGTGGGAAGAGCAGGTCTTCACCAAGGGGCCAGATGACTGACCTCCAAAAATATCCAGGACCTGACTGGACTGTGTCCCACTGCCTTGAGAATGACAGGATTCCACAGGGAGGGTACCTGGGAACTCACATTAATTCCTGCACTCTGCCCCACCCCCCAAACATAGCTCCTGGCTTGTGTCCTCTTGCTATATGCACTGGTTTCTGGATCCTAGGAGGCTAATCCAAACAGACTATAATACGGGGAGACAGGACATGCTTGTCATAGGTACCCATGACTGGAGCTTTCATGGGGCCGATCTGCAGATGGCAAACTGGCTTTGGCACTTGTATAGACTTTGTGAAAATTTTAAGTCAGCTGGCTGACTCAGGTTCTTAAACAACCTAGCGTATCTGTCTCCCCAAGCAGATTCTAACAATAGCTTTAATGTGCGTGCCTGCTCGCTCGATCATGTCATGCATGGCTTGCTTGTGGAGGTTGGGATGACCTGTGGAGGTCACTTCTGCCCACCATATGGGCTCTGGGTGTTAAACTTACACCTCTAAGCTTGGCAGCAAGCACCCTTGCCTATTTGTTCTTGAGTTGTCTGGTTTTGCTGCTGTGGACACACTGCCGGACCCTCTCCTCGTGTCCTTTTGTGCCCGATGTCCCACGCCCACCCACCACCCTGTCTGTACTTTCACAGAAGATGCGATACCTGTGTTCTCTCTGACAGGGTGAGGAACTTAGGACTGGGACTACGTCCATCTCAACAGCCTCTTTCTGCTCCCACAGGAAAGGGTTCCATTAGCTTCCCAGAGCTGGATGACTGCTGAGACAGAGCTGCCTGCACTTGAGTCATGGCCAGTGAGGGTGGGAAGGGCACCTGCTGCCTGAGGTCTGCTGCTTCTTTACCCAGGGACCGTCAGCAGGGTGGGCTGTACGTAAAGGAGTAGGGGGATGGCTAGGGCAGGCCTATCTCTTCGGTAGGCGTGGTATGGTTAAGGGTGCTCACTCAAGTCTGCTCATGGGAACCAATCAGCTGTTTCACCAGGAACTCTGGTGTGTCTCTTTCCAGGGACGGAGTATATTACTATCCCTACCAGAAGATGACCACCAGCAACAGCTTTAAATTATTGTTCATCAATCGCTAAGTCACAAAACTGAGTAGGTGAGGGTCAGAGCTGACGAGCTCTCAGTGGAAGCTGAGAATGACCGTGGGGAGATTAGCGGGTGAGGGTGGGGGAGAGATTAGCTGGTGGGGGTTGGGGGGTCTGTCTGAACAGGTGCAGAACTGAAAAATCCTCACAGGCCTGGAACACTTGCCTTTGCATAGAACCGGCACGGCTAGCCGCAGTCCCAGCAGAGCAGGGGAAGGGGCAGTCGTGATACCTCTTGGTCAAGGCCTGCTGTACCAAGGGCCTTGTATCTGCTGCTAGCTAATGGACCCGAAGGGTGGCCCTGGCTTTGAACACCATTCATTTCTTCCCAAGGTTCTCAAACATTTGAGAGGTGGCAGTTTTGGGGACATAGTATTTCCTTAAAAATATATTTTATTTTCTTCTCATATGTACTTTGTAAAAACTATAAGCTATACGATTAGCTTCACTCAGAAACAGGAGTCCTTCCAGAAGACGCTGAACTCACCTCCAGCCTTCAATTGGCATGGAAAGCAAGCTTGTGTTACCAAAACCAAAGCACCCAGGAATTCTTATTTCCCACTGCCCAGCCTCCTGCTGACCTGTGCTAGCATGGAGGAGGCAAAGGCATCAATCAGCATAGTGGTGGTGGCAGCAGCCTGTGGTCATGAGGGACCCTTCCACAGGAGCCCAATGTTTGCACTGGTTATGTTCATGTCAGTTGTGGTCAGTTAAGAACATGTTCTCTTGGAGATGCCATATGGGAATCTTAATACTCGCTGCGCCGTTCAAGGGAACTACTAAGCAGGTGAGGACACCAGTCTACATCTCTGCATCATCCTCGTCCTCATCATCTTTGGCCCTAAAATGCATTTTTCTGAATTCTCGTCTGCTCATGGAAGGACAAGATGAAGAGGCTGGTGGCAGATCCTTGGAAGAGAAGAAAACATGACTTCAATCTTGATGACATTTCCTGGGCGAGCACCCAGATCCAAACCCGATCATGGTCTGCCCTGGGCCTTGCGGAGCAGGTCCCTGTTTCAGGCATGGCAAGTCTGTCCAGGCAGTGGTCCCTTGGTAAGAAAGATGCTACACTCTAAACTAGAGCTAGCATCAGAAACATGGTTTCATGTTCACAAAAATCACAAATCTGACTTTCTAACCTTGTTCCAGGCCCAAGACACACCCAGGGGGCTGAAAAAGTGGTCCCTTGGTAAGAAAGATGCTACACTCTAAACTAGAGCTAGCATCAGAAACATGGTTTCATGTTCACAAAAATCACAAATCTGACTTTCTAACCTTGTTCCAGGCCCAAGACACACCCAGGGGGCTGAAGCCAGGGACCCTGCCTTCCCAGCCTTTCAAACTGGAACTGATTCCCAGCCTATGAGCTTGAGAGTGGGGGTGGTGTAGCACATAGCTCATTTTCTTTTTCTCCTCTTGCATGAACACGATGCATTCATGTTTACCTTTGTGTTGTGGAATTACGGGCAAACAGTAACCTGGGAGCTCATGGTGGTAGCTACAGCTTGCTGCCCAGGTGATGCAGGAGAGACAGGAGGTAACACTTACCTGCATAAGCTCTACATTCCCGAAGAAGCGACTCACAGGCATGGGCTGGTTGCTGTCATCATCGAGAAAGATGCTGCTATCCATCTGAAGCACAGGTGCCCGCTCCTCCTCTGTCCTGGGCACAGGCTCAGCCTGTCTGGCAGAGCTGTCACCAGGGTCCTGGGCTGCGGCAGCACTGCTGGGTTCTGCTGTGGGCAAGCCATCTTCAGTCTTTGCTGAGGGTTCCTTGCTCACAGCCTGGGAGCAGCCCTGGGGAGGCTCTCCACTCTCTGGCACAGGGACAGCAGCCTTTGCACTGTCCCCCGCAAGCTCACTTTCACAAGGGGACGCAGGGGACACTTTTGGCAAAGAAGAAATGTCACTTTTAGGGTCAGCTTTCTGTAATTCTGCCTTTACAAGGTGACCTTTGTCATACTTGAACTTTTTGGAAGTGCGTCTGTCTGTAGTCTTGTGTGATGAGGAAGCCTGCCAGGAAAGAAAAGTGTAAGAGAAAGTCAGACCCATCTGGCAGAGGCACAGGGCTGTCTCAGAACACCTCTTCCTCTGCTGCTGAGGGGCAGGGCAGACTGGAGGCTGAGGAGGACCCAAAGCACCGCTCCAACAAGATGCTTTCCCAGGGTTCTTTTCTGAAAGGCATGCCTGCTGCTAAAATTACACCCCAGAACCCATATAATGGAAGGAGACTCTTCTACTTCAAGTTGTCCTCTGACCTCCCTCAAATAAAAATGTAATTAAAAAAAAAATGTAAAAGAACCCAGTTTTCCCATCTCCCCACTCAAAGCAGGCTCCCAGCTCTTTGCTGTAAGCATGGCAGTGCTGGGGCACTCACTGTAGGAATCAGCAGACACCTAGGCTGGCATCAGCAACGTGTCAGTGAGCTGTCCTAAGTGAGCGCTGTGTGAGGCCACTCAGAGTCATTTCCTTGCTGCCTGACAGACACCTTCAAAGTGGCACCATGCACAAGCTGTGCCACACTGCACTGCCAGCACACCTCCACACACTCGTGCAGGGTGCTCGAAAGCTAACTCAGCTGCACTGCCATGAGCACTCCTCTCTGACGGCAGGGACGGCACCGTCACATGGCCTCTGAAATGTCTCCCAGGCTACACACAGCAGCAGTGGTTTGCATTTCACACAACACATCTCAGAGTGACAACTGTAGAAACGGATGGAGCCAAGGCCTTGGTGTTCTCGGTAGTGAAGCTCACCAGACATGCTGTCTTGGCAGATGTGGAGCTGGCAATGTCCTCGGCAGAGGCCAAGCTGGCTGAAGAGTAACTCCGGGCCCGAAGGCGTGCTGAGGATCGCACTCCACCTGTGAGCTGGAGGAGAGTGAAACTCAGAGAGCAAGCTTTGGGCACAATGCCAGCACAGAGCTGTGGGTGCTCAGCTCAGGGTCTGAGGCCGGCCCACACTCCCTCACCTACAAGCAAAGGCTTCTATGGCCCACAGTACCTCACCCCAACTGTCCAGGGTTAGACACAGGGTCCGGGGCCAGAGGGATGGCTCAGTGGAAAAGGAAAGGGGCTTGCCACCAGGACCGAGGACCCAGTTAGCGGAACAAAAGAACTGTAAGTTGTGCTCTGGCCTCTACCTGTGCTGTGCTACGCGCTACACAGGTGGCACAGCACACACGTGGGCATACACGCATGCACACACAAGTGGAAACAAAAGCTGGCTGTAGACAGGTCCACTGTGGAGGCGGGCACTGTAGCAAGTGACCATGAAGGCATACCCGTGTGTCTCCCCCTCCCCCCCACAGCACCTTATGTATCCGGGCTGGCCTCAGACATGTATGTAGCCAGTGAGCACCTTGCACTCCTGAGCCTCCCTCTGTTTCCCGAATGTTGGGATCATAGATGTGAGCTGCTATGTTCAGCTTATGTGGGACAGGGAAATGAACTCCGCTTCATGCATGCTAGGGGTCACGGACTGGTACAGGGGTCCCGGCAGCTAGGCAAGCATCCTACCAACTGTGTCATATTCCCGGCTCCACAGGTCTTGAATGCACGATCCATGGATCTGTCCTAGCTTCTCAGTGCTGGGGTCCCAGCCGGTGTCACCACACACAACTGTCTCACACATCATCTTACTGCCCCCACTGACCAACAACACCCTATGTAGCCTAGGCTGGCCTTAAATGCACACGCCAGCACACATGTAAGGGACAACCAGAAAGGAGGGAAGGAAAAGTATTTGGAGAAATAGAGGCTGAAAGCTTCCTGTGTTTACTGAAAACAATCGAGGAATCTGAACCAACTCAACTCCAAGTTGACAGGCCACCTCTGTGACAATGGGGGGAGACAGACAGCACAGACCATCCCCCGTAACAGTTCTAATCTTGGAAGAACTGGGAAGAAACCAACTCCTTTCTCTGCAGAAACAGCGAGAGCCACAGTGAATACACTTAGTGCACTTAAAATAAATAAATAAAAAATAAAACAAAATGTCATTTAAGAAAGTAAATCTACACCAAAAAAACCTGTCCTGCAAAATGAAGGCCCGGATAAAGACATTTCCAGATGCCAACTGAGGACTGTTGCTTTAGAACTTCTGAAAGCCAGTGACCCCAACAGTAGTAACCCAAACACACACAGGGGCACCCCTTCCCCATGGAAAGTCCTTGTACATAACAAGAGGCAACACGTTAGTAACATGCAAGTGGTAACAAGCGGGGTGGGCACGAGGGCGCCTTGCTGGCCTAAGGAAGTGGCCAATGTGGAAGGCGGTAAAGTGACCACTGCGGGGGCTGGACTGTCAACAGATGGCTCACGAACTCCCACAAAAAGCGGGGAGAGAAAGAACTACACGAACGAGTCGGACCATTCTGCACGAACCGAGGCAGTGCAATTCGGAAAACACCCGCACGCGGAACTCAGATCTTAACGCCTGCAAGAGGGAGCAGCACACAGGCGGTGCCGACGCGGGCAACAGTCGCCTATCAACGACAGCACGGGCGCACGCCATTCCCCCGAAGGCCGGGGGTCTGGCTGGACCCTGGCCACCGGTAGGTAGGTAGTGGGCAGGCGACCCCCGTCAGGCTACGGGGCACTTCGGAGTGCCCGCCAGGCCTGGTCAGAGCGCCGCTGCAGCTGGGGCAGGGCCCAGTCACCCTGCCCGCTGTCACTGCGCCGGGGTCGGCCGCCGCGCTGGGCCGGGGTGCGGGGCCCCGGGGTCCCCGGGCGAGGAGCGGCCGCCGGGCGAGGCCCAGGGAGCCCCGCGCGGCGCGCGTCCCTCCCTCACCTTCCTGCTCCTCATGGGTGAGCGCCCCGGGCTAACGCTCCTCCGCCGACTCCCGATCGCGCGGCTCCCGGCGCGCGCCTCCGCTGCCAGCGTCTGACGTCACCGCCGGCCGGCCAATCGCAGGGCGGCGCCTGCCGGTCACGTGCCGCCAGCGACGCCGAGCGCGCTTCCTGGGACGTGAGCGGGGGCGCCGGAAGCCGGGCGACGTGCCCGCCACGCGCGGGGGGGTGCGGGGCGGGGCGCGCGCCGCACGTGTGCCCGCCGCGTCTGACCGCCACGCTTGGGCGAGGCTCGCCCTATGGCGCCTCCGCGCCCGCCGCGTTTGGGAAGGGCGGGCGCGCCGTGCGAGGCGGGCGCCGCCATGTTTGAAAGGGGCCGTCGCGTGACGCACCCGCGGCCGCCATGTTTGAGAAGGGCCGTCGCGTGACGTCTCCGCGGCCGCCATGTTTGAGAAGGGCAGGCTGCCTCGCCGCCTCTTCTGCCAGGTCCCAGTCCCTTCCCATCCTGCGGGGCCACGGTCAGCTCGGGGTCCCGTTTACCCTGAGCGAAAATGAGATCTTCGGCCTCAGCCTCCGGCCTTGCTGGGTCGCGGTGCTGATGAAACGAAGGAGTCATGGGCCGTGGGTCCTGGAAGCGCGTGTCCTCTGCCGTCCCGAGCTGCTGTCGTCAAGCCTAGACCAGCGCACGAAAGGAGACGAGCACCGCAGACCTGTGCAGCCCCTCTAGGCGGACAGAGCCCCTGGAACCTGCAGCCGGCAGGCCTAGGCTTTGGGGCGCAGCCAAGCGCCTTGCAGCCCCAGCATAGCGCCGCCGTCTGCTCACCTTCCTGGCTGGGGTTCCCTCTTCCGGGCCTCATGCTTCTTCCCATTATTTCCCACAGTGCTCGGAAGGCTCCGACAGATGTGTGGCTGGTGGGAAGTCCATTGGAAAGGAAGCTTAATATAATCGCAGCCAGCTGTCTAAAACCAGCTTGTGCTGTGATCATCACTGTGGTTATTGTAGGCTTGGCTCCATGATTTCCCTTCCTTGTCCAGAGTGCCAGGTTCTGGTCCTACTGGGCTTTGAAGTTGGTCAGTCAGTCAAAAAACAAAAACAAAAACGTACTGCTACAAGGTTGACACTCCAAAAGGCCCATGGTCTTTTGCTTGCATTCATTTTAGATTGGTTTACTTTCTGTACAAGAGTGTTTTGATTGCATGTGAGCCTGTGGACCGGATGTGTTCTTGGAGCTCTTGGAGGTCAGAAGGGGGCATGGAAGCACCTGGAGTAGGAGTTATGGGAGGGTGTCAGCCGCATGTGGGTGCTGGGAACTGAACCTAGGTCCTCTGCAATAGCAACAAGTGCTCTTTCTCAGAATAAGTACACTGTCTGTGTCCCCAGCTGGGATGGGAATGGTGTTTCCTCTGTTGCTACCGTGGGTGGTCCTGGCATTGTATTCTTACCTGGCACACCAACCAGCAGGTCTGTAAGTGTGGACTGGACATCTCAGCTGGACACATTTGTCTTCTGGTCCTGTATTGTTTATGAACTCTTTCTGGAGCTCTTATGATCGCCTCACTGCTTCCAGAATCAAGGCCAACATTAAGGATGGGGCCTATGAGGTCTGTCAGGCACCCACAGTAGGTCACAGGTGAGTGTTGTTGGACTTTTCTTTGGGCTGCTACGTTGTGGTATTTCCTGTCCAGTTCTGCAGCCTCCTGGCCCCAAATGAACACACAGACACTATAGTAATTATGAGACTGTTGGCCGGCTTCTTATTGCTAGCTCTGTCTTAATTATTAATTCATTTTTATGTATGTGGCTGTGCTTATTTTACTGGAGAAGGGTCTGGACCTCTAACTCCTTAGACAGCCCACATGGTGACTTCTCAGTGTCTCCGCAGAGAAGAGAGCGATTTCCTGCATGCCCCTGCTTATATCCTGATTCTGCCCAGCTTCATCACTTCCTGTCTGGCCAATCAGCCTCTCGGTGTTTTATTCATTAACCAATGAGAGAAGCATATGCACAGAAGAACATCCCCCATCACTTACCATTTCACAAAAATGACATGGAGACTCCTTATTAATTACGAAAGCTGGCCTATAGCTTAGGTTTGTCCCATTAGTGCTTATAACTTAAACTAACCCATTTCTATTCATCTATGTGTTGACACATGGCTTGTGTCTTTTATATCCCCTCCACTAACACTATCAATAGCTGTCTTTGTGGTCAGTTTCCCTTCAAACATTTTAAAATATCTCTTGGTACAGGGTGAGGGCCTAAGACTAGCTTTGAGTACCTGGGCAGTCCTCTGAATGAGGCTTTAGGGAAGAATCCTTATTTACCATGTTGTGCCTGTCCATAACGGTCCTGCATATGATTAAACCAGATGCATCATGGGAAGAGGCATTTCAGTAAGCCCAGGCTTGTATAATCCAAGCCTGTTAATCAAAACAGACCCATCTTGTAGCAAGTCTTTCTCTGTACTGCCAGCTCCCAAATAATGACACAGGGACTTATTATTAATTATGATAGCCTGGCCTTAGCTTGGTTTTGTCCCACTGGCTCTTATAACTTAAATTAGCTCTTTTATTTTAATCCAAATTCTGCTCTGTGGCTCTACCCCATCTCTGGGTACTGCTAATGCTTTCTCCATGTCTGTCTGGCAACTCTACTCTCTTCCTCTTCTAGTCTTCTCTGTCCCCAGGAGTACCACCTAATGTCATTGTGCCTAGCTATTGGTCATTCAGCTCTTTATTAAACCAGTCATAATGACACATCTTCACACAGTGTAAAGGAATACTAAACATTTCCCTCTTTTGTCCAAATAAAAAGGTAATGTTTTAACTCTAACACAATAAAACTATAAACAAATAAGAACAACTATGAAGCAAGAATTACAACCACAATGGCCGGTCCATGTATATTTGGCATATTCAGAAAAAAATAACTATTTTAATCTATCTTATGTTGATGAAATTCAAGTTTTATACCTAAACCTATCCTAACTTGTATTACCAACCCCAAAACTATCTCCTTAGACCTCAAAACATTTTTTAAATAAACAATTTAAGCTTTTTATGTCTCTTAACCTTATACACTTTACACCTATTTTGTGAGTTTCTTTTCTGAATTTGGTAACAAAGAAAACTGTGACTGTTAACTATTTCATCTTGAACTCTGTCAGAGACCCAAGAAGGATTTAATATTGTCTGAGTAAACAGGAAGTGCAGAGCAAGCAACTTCCAAAACTATAGAAATGGACAGAGACAGCTGACTGCCTGGGCCATCACCCGAGTTTCCTCTGAAACATTGGGCCATTCATCTTCAGCCCACACGTCTAGAATATCTGAAAGAGCTTTCTGTGAAGCAGGTTTTGAAGGACTGTCCTACCTTGTCTTGGCAAAGTTCAGCTGTTGCCTTCTTTGTGTCCTGTTTGTCCAATTTGGACAGCATTGTATCAGCAGTCGAGGCAAGTGCAGTTTCTTGCCCAGTGAGTAACTTTGCCACAAATGAAGGCAAACTTTCTTGGATGCCCATCATCTTCTCTGAAGTAGGTTAGTGCTGCCAGGGGCAGATGTGTCTCACTGTCATGAAAAGCCTTACGTTATTAAAACATCTTAAAAACTATATTCTGTAGATCTTTAAAGTGTTAAAGGTCATCTATCTATTTAAAATATCAGTTTGACTTTGAAACATACCTAACATGACTATAAGTTTAATTGTTATAGATGACTATTAATCTGTATTTTTTTATTAGGATAAATAGCTTTCAAGGACTAAAACTTTATACTACATTTAAAATGAGCTGTGTAGGCACAATACCCTAAACAAGAGTAGAAACATATATACAGTATAATAAAAATAATCTTAAACTTATATCTATATATAAAAATCCATATCAATGTAAAATATTTGAGACTAGTGGTTATTGAAAAGTAAAATTGACAACCTTCCCCCTATCATCTCTATACCATTTCTCCTCTTTTTCCCTTCAGAATCTAGTGTTTGAATCTAATCTCCTATGTTAAGCTTTTTTTATGACTATGACCAATAACAAATTGTAATCAGCCCCCCTAAATGATGGATAATATCCATAACTCATCGAATGACCAAAACCCACCCACCATACCGCTTGGGAACATGAGCATCATATTCTCTAGCCTGCTTCCTGTTTTCTGGGGATGAGAAAATTGGGATAATGGTCAAGTCCTGGGAGAGCTAGCTGTATCATTTGTTGTCCAGTCTCCATGAGATAGGAATGTGCAGGACTTACCTGAAGTCCTAGTTGGAGTAGTGTATGAGGCTGGGCCATCTCAGCTAGCAGCTTGGAAGATGTTCTGGATGTAGAACTTGAGTAAATTGCAACAGAGGCATCTGAGAGGCTGGGTCACCTGGCCTACTTGTCTTTATTGGTGTCTGGTCCTTTTTTTTTTTTAAACATGCAAATTTTAAAGGTTACAAATATCTGTGCATTAACCTAAGCATGGAATGCACAGTGTGCACAAGTCAGTTAAAGATGGTTTTTTTTTTGTTCTATGTTTGAGTAGGTAAAAGGCGTCTGTTAACTTTATAAGTCTGTTTGGACTACATAGACAAACTGTAATATAAATCTCCATTCATGCCACATAAAAGGATAATATGTAGTAATAAGTCATGAAGATTCTGTAACTAATAAGATTTATCATGTCTCACCCAGTCTCAGAGCTGTTCCCATGTCAAGGGATCACTTTATATGTCACCTGTCTTGTAAGTAATATCATATATCATATCATATCACATCACATCATATCATATCACATAATTTCTCTCATATCATATAATAGCCATGAACCTCAGGAGGTCTTCCCTGGTCAAATCTGATCTTAGCTGACTTTGAAAGAATTCATAGCTGTTTGTTTCCTGGGGAAACAAAAGTATAACCTTTCCCACAAAGCAACACATTATCTGACTTCCATTTTGAAGCCAAGATAATCCTCAAAGTGTATAGGCTGGTTTAATTCAGGCGTTCCTTCCACAATACAATGTCTCTCAGCATATATAGTTCTCTCTAAAAATTCAAAGTTAACCATTGT